GGACTACAATTCCCATCGTCCCTGACCACTGGTCCTGCTAGCTAGGAATGATGGGAGTTGTAGTTCCCCCCCCCAAAAAAACCCCAACAACCAGCCAGAGATCCAAGTTTGGGAAACACTGGTTTAGAAGCACTCAGAATCACCTTTTGGGTACACGGTTAGTGGTGGCAAAACCTTTTAAGCTTCTGAGTAATGTAACCACTCTGGTGTTAATACCTGTCTCTGGATTCTACTAGCTTTTAATTACAGTATTTCTATATTGGCTATGTAAGTGCATACTTGCCCACTAAATTTAACAGCCAGGTATAAGGCATAATTGAGCCTAGTGTGTAAGATTTTTAAAAAGGCTTTTTGCAGACATTTAAGAGATGAACAACTTAGCAATGGAAGAATTCCACCAAAAACAGAGCACCTTTCCAACCACATGTTCTGTGTTATACTTGTCTAAATTTCCTATTTAGAGTGAATAACTGGAAACACTCTGTCAGTATCCCCGATCACAACAGCTGTAGTATGTTTTTGAATGACCCACATTTCTCAAATAAGAATAGGCTGTTTGAATGAATCACCATAGTGTTATGTTAGGCCGAGCTGAAAAGAATTCTCACAAACCTACAGAAAGCTTACACCTGAAGAGTGCTATTTTGCCAGAAAAATGACACCTGAACGTAACTATTCTATATATTTGAAATCCAAGGAAATGTGAATTTGATACGCTGAGTTAGTAATAAAAAAATGTAGAAGTCCATAGGCAAACTGTGCCACACAATCCTATGCATTTTTACTCAAAGTGTGTCCAACTCTGTTCATTGTGGCTAACTCCCAATAGAAGTATGTGCAAGATTGCAACTTTAGAGACGTGTGGACTGCAGAAACTTGCACAGCAGTAGCCAGAGGAAAGAAATTCAAACTGAGCAACCAAGAGTCAAATCCCTGTTTGAGTGGGCTGCAAAATTTAATCACTAGGTTAAACAGTAGGCTAAAACTTCAACTGATTAAACTGTTGATGATGATGCTTAAGTACCCATTTCTGGTGTTAATACAGTTCTCATGTATTATGTAACAAGGGGGACCTGAAACAAAATGTTGGGGTCACATCCACACCATATACCATAGGTAGGCAAACTAAGGCCCGGGGGCCGGATCCAGCCCAATCGCCTTCTAAATCCGGCCCGCGAACAGTCCAGGAATCAGTGTGTTTTTACATGAGTAGAATGTGTCCTATTTAAAATGCATCTCTGGGTTATTTGTGGGGCATAGGAATTCATTCATATATTTTTTTTCCAAAATATAGTCCAGCCCTCCACAAGGTCTGAGGGACAGTGGACCGGCCCCCTGCTGAAAAAGTTTGCTGACCCCTGCCATACACTGAAAGGACATGTAAAACCCATGACTTCCTCCAAGAATCCTAAGAACTGTGGTTTGTTAAGTGTGCTGTGAATTATAGCTCTGTGTGGCATAAACAACAGTTTCCATGATTCTTTGGGGGAAGCTATGTGCTTTAAATGCTTGTTCAATGTATGGTGTGGATGTGACTGTACTGTGTAGTACTCCCTGTTCGGAATGACAGCTACTCTTTAATTACCCCTTCTGCCTTGTTTTCAGGCACCACCACCAGTCAGCATTCCACCGGTCAGCATTCCATAGCCACTGAGCATGCTCAGTGCTCACTGGGCTTCCTTCCCCACTTTGGAGGGGCCCCCCCTCAATTATTTTGGGGAAGCTTCTGCAAACCACCACCGACTGGAGTCTGTTGACTCCTCTTCTGGGTGGATGTTGCTGTTTTGGCTAGATAACACCTGAACACCTGAAACATGGAGCATTAAAAATAAAATGGGCTGTTTCTTCTAGCAACAAGTGATTATTTTCATTTATAACACTGTCAAGTCAATCTTTGCAATGTTTACTCGAAGGTAAGTCTCTGTGTTCAGTCAGGCTTGCTCCTAGTGTTATTATTTTTGAAAAGACTCCTAACTGAGGCATTTGGTGGAACACGTTTTTTAAAAGGAAGACCTGAATCTAAAAGAACAAGAGAAAATGAATTAGTCTTGTTCCGAGGACTTTTGCACAAGCGCTAGTGGAAGACGTCTTTCAGCGCACATCCACAATGTGTCAGGGGTTGTGAATAAGGAAAATACAGACTGTAGCCATGTTAAGGACTTGAGAAAGCACTTGTCCAGTCATGCACAGGAGCTTGCACAAACAGACGATCTTCTCTAGATCCAGCATCACTTTTATGTTTCACAGCACACTTCTTCTACCCCTTCCAAGAGAAGAAGAGGCTTTCTATTAGAATAGGGAGGGAATCCAATCCACAGCATCCATTCCACTGACTGGTTAAAATGAGGTGATTTGTTACCCAACTGAGCTACTGTTCAGCAACAATCTTACCAGGAGGCCTTAGGCAAAGTATTTTCTCTCAGCATCAGTTTACCATCTATAAAATGGGAGCAAATTATTTTGTAACATAGCACTGAGGATAGTGTTGCATATGGGCCCAAACCCCTCTGAACTAAATGATCCTATGGAAGTGATAAACAATAATAATGCAGATAAAACGACTATTTGTTTCTCGTTTGGCATAAACAGCTACATATAACTGCGTCTTTTTTATTGACCCATAACACCTTATTCTACCCTCTGGATATATTTTTTTGCAAATCCATTTAAGACAGTGGAGTATTTCTGCTGATAACATTTGCTGAGAGGCTCATAGTTGCCCAGAGTTCCTGTCACACCACCGATGGCACGGATGGTTATTATTTTCAGTTTGCTGCAAAAAAAAAAAAAAAAAAAGCTTCAAGGACCCCATTAGCTTGTGACAGCTTTGAATAGCCAGTGGTTTCACTGGTTTCTTTTCATTTGACATAGTTAAACATTTATTTAACATTGTCAGCCTGGTGCACAGATCTTGTCTCTAGTGGGCCTAAAGACTACCTTATTTTCCTCTCTCTCTCTCTCTCTCTCTCACTGGTTCAGAGGTTGTTGCTGTAATCACATTGGCTATGGGCCTAAAGCAAGCTGTGTAACTCAGTGACAGTTGCAATCCATACACTAGAAAAGGACAAAGAACCAATACATTTGAAAACTGCAACAATGAATGGAACTGGTGACAAGGGATTTTTATTTTAAAATGATTTTGCACAGATAGTTGAATGGAGAGCGACGGTTTAAACTGTGAATTTAAAAAGCACCCTTTTCATTAAGAACCATGTTGCAATGATTGGGCACGTCTGGCTATTACTGCATTGCTATCAAGTTTCAATATACTTCAGTATTTGCCTTTTCCTGGCATGAGGAATGTAACTGCTACACTTGACTAAGCCCTCGTTCAGTAAAGCACCAGGACAGGAAAAAACAACAACTCCTGATCAGCCAAACCTGCTTGACTTTAACATGTACGTATACCTGAAGGCATGTTTTCAAATGACAGGAAATGTCTAATCACAAAAAAATCTTGTTATTTGTCTTATTTATACAGGACCGATTTTCCCCCTTTTGTTTTACAGCGGGTTACATACGCTTCAGGTTACATACGCTTCGGGTTACAGACTCCGCTAACCCAGAAATATTACCTCAGGTTAAGAACTTTGCTTCAGGATGAGAACAGAAATCGTGCTCCGGCGGCGCGACCCCATTAGCTGAAGTGGTGCTTCAGGTTAAGAACAGTTTCAGGTTACGAACGGACCTCCAGAACGAATTAAGTACTTAACCTGAGGTACCACTGTACATAAATAATATACTTTTAAAAGATCGCACTAACAGCTTAGGCCTTTGCAGAATTAGGCATTTCAGTGGGCTCAGGTACACCTAACGCTATACAGGATGAAGCTGTAAAGAAAAACAGAAAGGGGGAAAATAAACTATGGCTACAATTCTAATGTTTCTTGGAGGGCTCTCAAGAGGCCATAGGACGTTTTGGGTCTCCCTCTCTCAGGGTAGAGAGAGGGGTCCTTAATCAGAAGGGAGATGTGACTTCATGATAGCCCTTCCTGGACACAACTCGGCAGCTGTTGTCCTACTGCACAGAAATGCCTATGTCAGTAAAGGCCTGCCTGGAGATCAGGGGAAAGGTTCCCATTCCAGCAGTTCCCCAAAATGTGGGTGGGCGGGAGATGGGGAACGTGGACAAACACCAGTAGTGGAGCTGGCATATGTTTTTTCCTATTTTCCCTGTCACTGATTCCAACGTAGTTTTTATTTTATTTGAAAATACCTATGTTTAATTTTAAAAAGTTACTCTTTCCGGGCACTGTACAAAAATGGAAATACAAAAAAAATGAGTAAGAATAAAATCCAAAGCTTTCCAATATAGCCAGCAGTAAAAAATAAATAAATGTTTGAAACCATAACAGTCAGCATCGCCCAAGCCAACAAATGAAAAGTTGAACAATATGTGTCAGAACTACAGCAGCACCAGCACATTCCTTTTATTAGGAAGGAAATTGTTTTAAGGAAGAGGGGGATAAACAGAACAGGAAACTGAAGAACAACAAAAATCTTCCCATTGCACTGCTGACGCAGCCCAGCAGGACATTCAAAAAGACAGCTTATACAACTTTTGTCGGTCCCCCCTTTTTAAATTGCACATATCACCTAAGAGAATCTAGATTAAAACATGATACTTTTAAAGAAATGCTAATCTCAACGTCCTCAACGCTTTGTCGGCCGATCAAACAGCTGTTTAAGGCACAGGGGCAGGCCACAGCAGTTTTATCCTGGTCAGTTGGCAACCCAAGGTGGCAGCAGACATTGGTAGCACTGCTTCTATTTTTGTAGCATAGTTGCTGGGCTGTCCTCTTTTGATGCCCTTGTCCCTTTAAATTGCAGCCCACATGGATTCCATGTGTCAAGCATGCTGATTCATCAAGCATGACACTATCAGGTCATTCATTCTGGTAGTACCCTCAGACCAGTTCTATGCAAATTTGCTAAAACGTTAATCCATCCTGGATTTGTTTCCAGGTATGTATGCAAAGGATTGATGCTTATGTCAGATTGCCACTTTTTATTCATACAAATGACAGATACTTCTGCAGAAATCTTCCAGCAATACCAGATTTAGAGCAGTGTGGGTGGTTCCCCCCCCACAGGTGGCACAAAATAAAATAATAATAATAATAATACCTGTATTACATGGGTACCTATTGAGAAGATCCATAAAAAAACAACTGTACAAAAATGAATTCTTGTGAAAATAACAAATATTTTGGGTGTGCCAATTTTTGTTGTCACTCAGGGCACTATATTATCAAAGTCTGTCCCTGCTTCCAGCCCCTCAAATCGACCCAGTTACTGAGATGATCTGCCAACCCTCTTCTCTAGGTGCACCACACTATCAAAAGGTGAGGTTGCTGGCAAGCAAGGAGAGGGTGCTTGGGGCTGCTGTCCCCATTGGCCAAGGGAGGTTTGACAGCACATTCTTCCTCAAGGAAGCGGAGACCACGATCCAAGAAGCCAACTCCTTCCTGACGACACCACCTGTGCAGCCAGTGGTTTATCTCAAGTATTTTCCTCTCTTTTCTTGGGCCACAACCTTCAACAAGGAGTGATGAAAAGACTACCAGTGCCCCAAGTCTCTTCGGCTCCCTGCCCAGTGTCTCATAGTCCCTTGCTATGTGTTGCAGGCTATGTGCGGCAGTATCATTTGTACCCGCATGGATCAGAAATAAGGGGTAGTGGCCACTGGGCTTCATAAGACTTGGCAACTTCTCCATCACATCGTGAATCTTTGTATCCGGAAGACAGCAGACCTTGCGTGACATCCTGTTTCCTCCACACACTACTGCCTCTGTTCCCCTCAGTAGGGAGTCACCTATCACCAGCACTCGTCTCCTCCTCTTCTGGGGAGTAGCAGGGATCATTCTATGAGCTGTGCCTTCCAAAGGCCGCTTGGAGTGTTCTGAGATCTGCTTCCGTTGTTCTCGAGTCTTCCCCTCTTGTTTATTGGAGCTTATTTTGATATTGTTGGGATAAGTCACAAAGGCCGGAAACTTATGGTTTGAGTGCTTCCTACTCCTTCCTCCCAGTTTGTCATCTCTAGGCTGCAATTCCCTTTTTCTAACGTCGTCGCCACAGAAGGTAGCAAGTACATTATCAGCATACTCATCCGTGGTCAGTTGCCTTGGATCTGATCAACACATCCTTTTGCTATCACCATGCATTCTCTTTCCTTTTAGCAAAAAAGAAGGGAATGTTTCTAGATATTTTAAATATTCTAAATTGCTTTAAAGCTTGCCTCCTCCCCTCCCAAATAAAATCAAAAATGTTAAAGCAATGGGTATAACATTGCTTCTTCCCTCCTCCAATCTTGGTTATACCTTCTTCATGAAAAAAATAAAACAAACCCACATGTCATTTGTGACTTTATTAACGGTGTCCCTAAACAGCCTTCCTTATATAACAGTCCTCCCACCTTGCTACAGATGCATTGTTTCCCCTCAAAGAACTGTCTCTGTAAATAGTTTTTCCCCAGTTGCATACATCCTCATTCATTTCTCTTGATCTAAATACATCTTTATTGTGCCATAAAAGTTCCTAAATGGACATTTTCGGTTTTAGAAAACCTAAAAATCTTTAAATTATTTGAGTGGAGGCTTACAGACAAATAACAGGGAGTTCATGACGGATGAGATTCCTAAATGTGAGGTATTGAATTGCCTTCCAAGAAATAAAAGTGGGAAGCATCTAAAGAAACTAGTGTGGCTGTATAAGGAGCTTTCAGATGAGCAGGGATTTAAATGTGACATGTATAGGAAATAGAAGGGGCAAATCACAAAGGAAGAATATAAATGAGGAGCCAACATGGGCATGGAGTTTTCTGCTCATCTCGTGCTTTCTAGGCATGGGTCCAAACCGTTTTCCATTTGCCCTGCCGGTTTGCCCAGGGATACCTGCTTTTTTCTGTGGAAAGTAATGCCCAGCGACTCTACTTTGCCACTCCAGGGTTTGGCCACTCTGCCAGTACAACCATTAAAAATATGAGGAGAGAGAAAAGCAGAAGACAAAGGTTTACCAAGAGATCCGTCATCGTACATCAACCAGAGAATGAACAGTGGCAGACAGATTGCTCCTCGCACCATCCCTGCCAGCAAGGACCATCAGAAGCCAAGTCGGATCACTGGTCCATTTAGCTCAGCATTGTCAACAAAGAATAGAAGTGGCTAGTTTCAGAGGAGTCTTTTCCTAGCTCTACTTGAAGATACCAGGGATTGAATCTAGGACTTTTCATAGACAAAATATGTGTTTAACCACTGAGCCATACCCCACCTAGAAAGAACATACAGCCTCAACTGCCAAATGCAAGGAGGTGTGTTTTGGATGCTATGTGTGCTTTGGGATGTGTGGCTTTCTCTCTCTCTTTCTTCCTTTCTTCCATACTTTCCATCAGTCTGTAATCACTGGATTGAATGGTCAGTATAAATCCTTAAAACAAATAATAATTAAAAATTCCCTAAGTGCACAAATGGTGGCAGAGCAACTACGTAAACTATACTGAGCTGGAAGGGTAAGATAATACATATGAGACATTGTGGAAGACTCTGGATGACTGTGTGGTGCAAAGATTTTACAAGATACAGTGGTACCTCAGGTTAAGTACTTAATTCATTCCAGAGGTCCGTTCTTAACCTGAAACTGTTCTTAACCTGAAGCACCACTTTAGCTAATGGGGCCTCCAGCTGCCACCGTGGCGCCAGAGCATGATTTCTGTTCTCATCCTGAAGCAAAGTTCTTAACCCGAAGTACTATTTCTGGGTTACAGGAGTCTGTAACCTGAAGCGTCTGTAACCCGAGGTACCACTGTATGTGTATTAAGCATTCCGGTTTTTACAGTCAGTGTGAGAGGCCCTCCAAAGGGAGTGGCAACTGAGGTGGGGCAAGTTGCCAGAATCATGGCACAGGAAGAAAGGTTTAAATCCACATATCCCCAATAGTTCCTGATACTAATCGCCTGTGTCTGCTGCTTCTGTTTGAAGTGATGCATTTAACCATCTGCTGCAAGAGTCTTATGTTATGAGTTTGTCATGTCTGACATAGATGTTATTGCAAGTATTATTGGTTTTTTAATGCTTAGTCAAGATATTTCTGTTCTGGCAAGCTTTTGGCCTGCTGAGCTTAAGAATTTTGGGGGGGCTACTCTATGGTGTGATATTTTTTACCTTGGTAACTTTTAGTGTTTTATTCGATGATGATGATGATGATTAGGGAGTGCAATTTTTAAATTCTAGCAAGCCATCCTGAGTATTGTGATTGCAATCAAAGGGTAGGGTATAAATTGTTTAAATAAATACATATATAAACATCAATTTACTTTTAAATGTCAGTTGTTTAGAATCATTTGCAGAAATTAGTGTATCTGGTCAATAATGCCGTTCCTCCCTTTCCCAGTACATAGATCTGGTAGAAATCTGTTTATGAGATTTGTTAGAAAACCAATTTAGTTTAAGTACACAATTCTGTTATGCCCAGAAAGTATTTTCTCCGTCTGACATTTATATGTGGATTCTCATTTAGAAATTAACAAGATCAGATATTGCTGAAGTGCTAATATAAGCAGCTCAGTCCAGCTAAATCCGTTATTAGCAGGATCTGGGCAGTGACCTCTGTTTTGCCAGCCAAAGGATTGTGACTACAGAAAATGAGAAGGAATGCTAAGGTTGCAAGTCTGCATATAGTTAGGATCCTTAAATCTCATCAAGTTCACTGGGAGTTTAGGAGCTAAACTATGTGTTGGATTGCAGCCATTAATCAATAAGGTAAACAATCATTGTAAGTGTCCCTTTTACATTCTATTCATTTGGAGACATTCTACTAATGAATCCTGTCAGTACAAGGATTTCCACTTGTGAAATGGGACTTTATCCCCTATCCTCCTTCTCTGCCCCATGCCCTCCTCAAATCTGTTCCAGAGGGCTGGAGGAACCCCTGGAAGTTCTAAAAGGTGCATGGGGGAGGAGAGAACATTCTGTGGCACAAGCAGAAATCTTTGTGACGATGAAACAATTGCCTTAGCACTACCTTGGATTCAACCCACTGTTCCTTAGCCTGAAGCGGCCTGCTGCTTTACTTCACCAGTGGAATTAATTTCATGACAGGTTTTCTTAGACTGGTGCGCATGCTATTATTCCAGGATGACCGTAGGTTTCATGAAGGAAACTAATGACAGATACTGTCCTGAAGGCCGAGGATCTCTCACTAACGTTTCCAATGGGACAGCAATCAGGAGTTTGCAGAAACTGACACCGCACTGCGAGTGGTGGAGTTTGTGACCATAGTTTGTATTAAGTGGTCTGAGCTGCGGAATGTGTGCAGATCTCTTTCTGGTTGTCTGAATGGCTAATTTTAAGGATGTCTTCAGGTGGAAACTTCATGACTGGTGTGCAGCAATAAGCTTGCCAGCAACACTGTAAGAATGTCAGTGTTGCTATGTAGGTGCTTGTTTTTGCAGCTTTTGTTTCCCTTCACCACATGCTTAAGCCACTGCACAGTTTACAACCTGCAGTCTTACCCTCTGCAGAGTTTGCCCAATGAGATGAAGAGGATTAGGAGGGGCCAGTTCTTCACAGGAAGGGGCTGTGCAGTTCCATCTTCACACCTGAAAGGCTGCAGGGAATTCTTTAGGAGTGATGTAAATTCCAAAGGAACATAAAAGGAGGGGGCAGAGGAGGGGAGGGATCAAAGGCAAGTGTGGCTGATCAGTATCAATGTGCCTCTCAAGTGCAGGTTCTGCATTATGAAAGTAGAAACAGTTTCGGGATGCTATTATATCCTACACACACTTATAAGGACTCCAGTTCCCCAGTGTAATAGGACTTCTGACTTGTGCTGCCTCCATTACCACCGTCACAAAAAAGTGATGTCAACAAAAGCAATGTGACAGACCAGATTATAGGAGTGTCTTAAGAATTCACTTAAGCATCTTTGGTACTGCCTTTCTTGTGAAGATGGTACATTGGATGCTGCTTTTGGGATTCCTGGTGCGACACAAGGAAGCAGCATCTGAAGCACAACAGAACAACTTAATGTCACCCTTCTGCTATGTGCTGATGGTTCAAATGTGTTGAAACCACAGATTGGGGCTGCCCCTTTGAAGGGACCCTTGTATGAAACGACCGCCGCATTGTGAACATGCAACCGATTAACGCAGCTACCACTCTTGCAACTGCTACATTTAAACTAACAATTTCATCCCTTTATAAAATCCAACAATTACCAGAGGGGTAGCCAGGTTAATAACCTGCTGCAGTACAAACAATAGTTTCGTGGCACCTTAACAGCTAAGATTGCCACCTGAACTAGTGGAGGGTGGAGGAGGCAAAGAAATATCGGTGAACAACTACTGCAACGCCGGCAAGAGAGGAATGCACGCCTAAGGAATCAAATCCTCGCAGGGAGAAGGGATGTAATCACAACAAGGCCTTGCTCCCTTTCCCCGCCAGAAAAAAGGCAGGATTTTCACAGGAGTCAGATCTTAGGTGGGTTATTGCAATCACCCCCACTTAATTCCTCTCTTCAATAGGTGCAGCAATGCAAAGCTCCCCCCCCTTTCTTTCTTTCTTTCTTAGCAATGCAACCTTTTACCGTAGGGCTGCGAACGCGAAGCGAGTCCGCCGCCCGCGGCTTCCACCGCGCGGAGTTCTAGAACGGAGCGTGCGTAAGCAGCTGCACGCCTCGTGCCCGGAGGGTGCTAAAAGCGGAGCGCGCCAGCCCTTCCTTTGCAGAAGAGGAAGAGGAGGCGGCCACGGGGAAAGCCAACTTCGCGGGACGGAGGCAAATGCACGCGCCTTGCACCGTGCAGGCTCCAACTGCTTCCCTCTCTTCTGCAGCGCGGCTGGCTCTCTGGCCCTCGCGCCTAACTCTCCTCGCTCCCCTCCCCGCGCGTGTGGTCTTGTGCACAACCCCGCGTATCCCTCCGCGGTGCGCGTGTGAGACACTCGCAACTCTTTGAAAATAAGCGAGCGAGGGAACTACTTTCGGGAAACTATTTTTGCATGGCGGGCTGGGAATGTGGTCATTTAGTCTCTCCCCTCCCTCCTGTTCTTCCTTGGAAGTAGCCCAGCCAAAAAAAGAAAGCAAGAGTCTCTTTCTTTCTAGGCACAGCGTGGCAAAGCAAACCACCCGAGAACCAACTTGGGTTTTGCTCCGACTTGTGCTTTCCATTGGGAGGAACCCGCTTCCTCGGGTGACCAGCCAGTCTCGAGCAGGAAGAGAGCTTTGCGCGGCCTCCATAATAAAATCCCTTTGCGCCACAACCCGGGGGTTTTTACTGTGCAAACTTGTGGAACATTCCCGATATTTGCTTATTTATTTATTTGAGGGGCGGCGAATGAGCAGCCAAAGGGGAAGCCCCCCCCCCCGCCGGCCTTGAAGCGCGCGAAGGAAAAGCAAGTTTGTGCTGTTCGGCTGCCCAAAAAGAGGGGAGGGAATCGGGGCCCTTGGCAGCCGTGTTCCTCCGAGTGAAGGGGCTCGGGGCGCCAGCCGCGTGCAAAGAGCAGCGCGAGGGAAGGCGACGTAGCCTGCCGGGGGGGGGCGCTTCTCCGCCCTTCCCCAGCCCCGTGGCAAAAAAAAAAATAATTCTGCGCCCTTTGGCGACTCCTTCGGACGGAGGCGCTTCCCAAGTGCCCGGGGTCTCCTTTCCCGTCCGTCGTCTCGGAGAGTTGGCGGCGGAAGGAGCGTGAAGTCAACGCTTCCGCCCAGTTTTCCAATCAGAGGAGGAAGGGGGGACGCAGAGAGAGAGGCTCGGGGGCTGCCGCTGCTCCGGGTGGGTCTGGGGAGCAGCTCCTGAACTTGCTCGCCTTCTGGGTTGGGGAGAGGGCGGGGTGCCAGGGCTGGGGGCGGAGGAGGAGAAGGACGAGCTCTTCCTACTTCTCCTCTCGGCTTCTCCTCTTTCCTCCTCCTCCTCCAGCGCCACCAGCCGTGACGCATCCTCCCCTCCCCTTTTCTAACCTCCGGGCTGCTTTCAAACTCCCCCCTCCCTCCTTCTTTCCTCCTCCTCCTCCTCTTCCTCCCTCTTTCCCTCCCTCTCCTTTTCGCCTGCCTGGGGCTGAATTAGTTTCCCTCAGTGCTGCCTCTGCTTGTTGGCGGGGTAGTCGGACTTGAGCCGCCTCCTTTTCCCCCCTTCCTTTTTTGTAAAAATCGGGTTTGCAGACGCTGCTGCTGCGGGCGTCCGGAGGAATTTCTGCCGCGGTGCTTTTCCGTCCTGCCCCGGGGGTTTGGCAGCGAGGAAGGGGAGCGGGGGGACCTGCTCGTGGGGACGAGGGGAGGGGGGGTGGCAGCAAGGAAGCCAGGAGGCCAGGCTTGAGGAGGAGCTGCTGCTGCTGCTGCTGCTGCTGCTGCAGCAGCGGGAGATGTGGGCTCCTGGTGCCGATGCGGCACAAGGACACGGCTAGGGAGCCTCGCTTGCAGCCGAGACGCCGCCAGCTGCCCGGTTCCCGGTGAAAAAGACCAGAAAGAGCTTCGATTGCCGCCGCCGCCAAAGCAGAAATCAGTCCCAACTCTCGGCCGAACAGGATCCCTCCGTTTCCGTGCGAAGAAGAGGCGGGGAAGGCTGCTGCTGCTGCTGCTGCTGCTTTCGGAGGGGACCCACCTCAAGGATTGAGGCCATTCTGGCGGAAGGGTGTGCAGGGGGGGCATCGGTGGGGTTTAACAATGGTGAGGTTTCTGGTGAGCTCCTGCTGCGCCCTGGCTGCGTCGGTGCTGCTCCATCCCCGGATCGGATCACGGTGAGGAAAAAATGAGCGAAGAGACGGCGAATTCTAACAACGAGTAAGTTTCTCGGCTTTTCTTTGGGGGGGGGGTCTCTTCGGCTTGGCATTTCTCTCCCCCCACCCGTCCCTACCCCGCCACCTCCGTTCATTGACCTCCTCTCTTCGGGCTCCTTACATAGCTGGATATGTTTTAAACGTGCTGATGTGTGTGTGTGTGTCTCTGCATATGTAAACACCCCCCCACCCCCCGAATCTGACTGTTTTGGTAATTTGGAAAAGTCATGGCAGACCCAGGATATGGTGAAAAAATTGCCTAGCTTATGCGTGTTGGGGAAATGGACCCTCCGTCTCCCTCCCTCCCGCCCGCCACCCCCCTCGACCTTCTACTTCCAGTGGACTACGTGCAACGTTTTGTGGGAGAAAAAGAAGTCTATTTTCGTTTGCATGTTTCCTATAGAAAGTAGCGAGTGGGAGCTTCATCCCGAGGGAAACTGTTCCTGAATTTTAATTGGATGAGTCAGTGTAAATACAGTGTTAAACCTTTCCCCAAAGCTTTATATATACATTTTAACAAGCTGTTAGGACTCTTCGCCCTTCCCCCCTTCTTTAAATGGGGAATAGAATGAAGATATTTATATATATAACGTGCAAGATATTAATATATTTAACATGCTTAGCTTGGATGAAATCTATAGGGGGCTTATGTTTTCTTTTTTACATCTGTAGGGATGTAGCCTTCAAAATTGCTATGAAATATATAATTTCTGAAACAGGGTAGTCATGTCAACAATCCTGAACTTTCCCATTTCTTCTAAAGAATGAAAAATGTTGACGCTGCCTGTGACTCCTGCATCCTGCCCTGTCAATGGTTGTTCTTTTCTGCAAGAATGAGTTGCGAATTAGTCATTTTCTCAAACATACTTTGCAATAGTTGTGGCTCAATTATAGTGCAAAAGCATCCTTCTGGCAGAATTATCACACGGTAATTATTTTTCCAGTGCCTGTAGCAAGTAATTTGAATTGTAGGAGGAAATACTGGTTTTTGGTGGAGAAGGGAACACTTGTCAGTTGCATACATTCCTCCATATAAAACCTTAATTCCTTAAGATGGATCGGTAAAGGAACAGGCTTCTGCTTCTGCTTCTTCTTTTTTAATGAATGGCTTTACTCTTAAGCCAGAATCACATAATATAACAAGGACAAATCCTGAACTGCAACAGGAACAAGTACAAAACATTGTATTGAGCTACTTGGTAAGATGAAGTGCTGCAGTGCCCGTGGAACCGAGAGAGAAGCGGCCGCCATATTTTCTTTTTTGTGAATCGCTCTAATTTGCATACCACAGTCTTCATTCATAAAAAATAATAATTAGACCTGTGCCACCTTCGACATTCGACTGAACTTGGCTTGCAAGAAATGGGAAATTTTCATGAAGGTAGAAAGAGCCTAGTATGCTCGAGGTTTAGGGTTTTCTGGATTTTCGTCTCGAAAAATACTGTTCTCTGCTTGTTGACACTGTTATGTGGGAAATATCGGCTCGGGGAAGTGCTGGGAGCACGTGATCCTCTCCATTCATAAAATACCTGGCTGGCCATTCACAGTGCAGTACACTGTGTCTACATGGATCCACTTTCACATTAGACCTGTTTTTCTAAAAGAAAGGCACAGATTTGTGTCAGGGTATCTGCAGAAGCACCACCTTGCTTGCCAGAATATGAAAAGAAGTGTGCTTTTAAAAGAAAAAAAATCAAGGCCATAATCTGAGGACTTTTGTAGTGTCACTAAGGGATCTTTGGGGTGGTGGAGGATAGAATCTTCTAGTAGCTAGCTTCCTTATTTTAATGTGGCACATCAGAAACTGCCAGTATTTCTAAAACAATACAAGATTATGTGAAAGTGGCTTAAGACGTAAACACTGATATAACTGAAGCAGCAGCAAAACGTTTCACCCTGTTTACTTGTGCAGTTTTGCAGCCCTTGCTGGTTGATATTCACACCGTAATCAGCCCCTGTATTTTAACTGAAGAAAAGTTAATAAGATAATTAATTAGATATTGCATTTTACAATAAAAGGGCTATTATGTAGTCAACTTTCATTAAGCATTTTAAAGCCAGTCAAATGTAAAATTATTGAAATGCATTCTCAAGATTAGTCGCAAAAGCTGCCTGAATGTGATTGCTGGGGAAGAGCCCTTTGTTAATGCATATATTTCTGTGTGCCACTTGGTGTATGTATTTCTGTGTCACCCCATGATTCTATGACACTTTAGCGTAAATATTTGAACAAAGGCCAATTGATTATGCTTTTTGGACAACACAGAATATTTATTTAATTAAGAGAAAATGTTTTCTTCAATAGTTAGGATGCAAAAACACCTTCAGAACATTTGATTATAACATAAAATGTGTTTGTCAGTTTGAATTGTATTCTTCATCTCTTCGATTCGTCTTTTGTATTGCCATCATACAAGAATTTCATAACTGAAGAAAATGCTAGAACACATCTACATATTCATACTGATTTTTCCTTCCTTGTGTTCTCATCAGGCTCTCCAGTCACATTTTGAATTTCTCTTCTTGGAAGTGAAGTGATCTTCTATGCTTTGTGTGGATTAGCTTAGGGTTTTTTAAAAGCTGATTTTATGAACTTGATATAGTGGAAAATACAGTACACAGCTGCGGCTGCTGCTCCTGCCACAGTCATACAGGCTTAAATATGGCAACCAAGAATTCTAGTTTGCATCGGTTCACACAGTTTTCACTTTGAAAAGTTCCTTGCATTCTAACGAATTGTGTAGTATATTGTCCATACTGAGTACAGTTAGGCCTTAACTGTGTTATGTGTGTCTGACTGTATATGCAAAAAGCAACTTGCAGTGTTCAGTATACAACCATTTATATTACAAGACCGTTGTTAATTGTATTTTTCTCTTTTGAAAGCAGTACGTTGGTTAGATTTTGTTATTGCACCTGCACAACTCAATTTTCCAGGAGTTTTTAACAACAAACCTCACCAGTTTGTGTGCTAGCCTGGTATGCTGTCAGAAAAAGTGTTTATGGTTTCACAGTACTATGCATTATATAAATCTTGTTTACCTCATCTTTCTCTAGCATGTTTTGTTTTGTTTTTAAGATACATATTTCCCAAGTCTTCTGCAGTCGTACTTTTTCAGTTTCTTGCTGGATGGGCCAAATTACTATGGCAAGTTGTATATTAGTGACTAATCACTTCATTAATTAGAAAGTAGACTGATGTCAGTCCACATGAAGTTGCAAGTAAATGTTGGATATTTTTGCTTCTAATGTGACTTGACACTGTGTTTTGTCATGTTCATTTGCATTTTAAAAGAAAGATACTAGGTTTCAGTTCAATAGGTCAGGGCTTTAAACTTTTTGAACATTGTTTAATTCCATTTTAGGGAAAGTAGCTATATGCATGGGATTGCAGATCTGAAGTGTGCTTGATAAATTGACATGGGACCTAACTGTAACGTATGTGTATATAGTTTTGTTCAGATCCCTTATTAAGCATGGCATTTCAAAGGGAGTCACGCAGGAAATGCCACCTGAGTAAAATAAATAAATGGAGGTAATGATGGTTCCCTATATGCTAAAAGTAATATTCATGCAAACATTATGACACCAAAATATTGTCTCCATAGACCACTGCTTGAGAGAATGAAACTCTATGGTTGTTTTCTTCCCCCAATCATTCTTGGAAACTGTTCAGAGGTTATTACTTGGTGCTTGGGCTTCTACCCTGGTTCCAGCACCTGGTTTCAGGCCTTGGCCACTCTCTTGGATAGAAAGCAACTAGTGGACAGACAGACTCTGTCTACATTTGAATGTAAGGTTGCTCCCTGACCCTGCAAGATGAAACCCACCAGAAAGGCAAGTTCTATAATGCAAGGTCCAAAATCCCGTGTTGGATGCTTGTTAGAGGAGTGAGAGAGGGGGCATGCAAACCTGAGGCTCTGATGATAAATCAAGCAATTCAGTGACTTGCAACCAGGAGTCCTTTTTGAATCCTGCTTATACAGTAGTTGATTTGGGACTAGTTTAGCTTTTGCAGGCCATATTCGCATGCCGTTGAATACCCAGTAAGCTGTCTTCTTGCTATTATGTTCCAGTTTTCCTTGTAACAAAAAAATAAAAATGCATGTTGTACATTTCCTGGGGGGGGGTTGTGATGCCACAGAAGCCCAGTGAAGCTTATATTCAAAGGGATCGTCCTTTTCTTAAGACTGATTTAGTCTTAAAAATCTACCATGCAAAAGCATTGATTCTCATTCAATATGGAGACATCCTTTAATGTCATATACAAAAATTACATTTATACACAGAGAGAGAGAGAGAGATGCACACTGATCTTTTGTTTGCATCACGTATAGAATGTGTGTGTCAGTGTTTGTGCTTGCTAACAATAATATCTGCAAGAGGTTTTCATGATAGATAAAAATTCCTTGATGAAATTATTTTAATTGTGTCCGTTGGATCTCTTTTATTGATGTACAGAAGGAGTTGTATGACTGCTAAGTTATTTTTTCTGCAAGTAATGCAGGATGAGGAGCACAATGGTTTGTCAAAAGAGCTTTCCCCAGTGAATAGCAATGCAAAATTGCAAACAGAGGAATAATTCATTAGGAGAGGATAAGTGGGGATATGGTATCTAGAGCAAAAGGACACAGAAAATTGAATTGTAGAAAGGGTTAAAAATTATCACTGGGTTGACTGAAAAAGGCAAGACAGGCCACTGGATTTCAGTGAGGCTTAAGTGCACATAGTACTGTGCAGTATCGTGGTGATCTAGGGTAGAAGTGAACATTCTTAAATTTCAGATATAAGCAGATTGAAGCATTGCATGACTTTAAAGTAATTGTCCAGTGTTTGGAGTGTGTGCATGCTCTGTAGATGTTACCAGCTGCTGTTGCAATTCCTTGCACCAGGTTGTGGAAGTGTCTGGCGATAGAAGGAACAGTGGCCTACAAGTTTGACGTGGATGCATAAGAACTCAGTTTTTTTAAAAATAGCACTATATTCTAGGAGTGCCTATGGTTACTAAACATCAGGTACTGACCAGTAATCCAGCCTTGGTTCCCTACCACATAGGTGGTTAAATAAGTACACACATGAATCATGCAAAGCAGACCTTAGAAGGGCTTGGGGTGTGTGAAGGTGAAGAGGAATCCTTATACAATTTATTTGCCTTTCCCTCCACATCCACATCCTTGTGACTGTTTGGTTCCCATTTCCTGAGCAGATACAATATTTTCCTCAAGTTGTTTCCCTGTAACCCAGAAAATCTTTGTGGTGTGACAAATATGAGCGTTAAGATTTCCACAATAGCATTTAAATTACCATTAAAGCTGCAGTCAGCAAACTTGCTAACAAGTAAGCTCTGTTCAACATTGTGGAACTTAAGCCCAGCTTGGGTGCTCAATGTGAGAAGAGCAGGCATGTGCCATCTAGCCTTGCCCCCCCCCCATTGCATCCCCATGCCTGGCCTAGCTATTCTTGTGTTGGGAGAGTGAGCTTGAAAATTTGCCAGGCACCAGGTGTATTTTACACTTGGGTGTCTGTCAATTGCCACCCAGTGAAGATGCCCAGGCACCAGGATGGCGTATCATGTCTGCACCATCTGGAGGTTCATGCCTGGGGATCCTTGGACCTTTCCTGTTTTTACACACTAACGACACAACCTGTAGAATTCTGTCCGTGATATTTTATCTGCACAAATTTCAGGAACCAAAAAGTCGTATGGAAAAATACAACTAATGAGCTGTCTGGCCCCAAAATGGCAACTAGACATTCCATTTTGGCGATTGATACCATGGTTTAAGGAGCTGTTTGGCACCTAGCGTATGAGTTTCTAACACTGACTTCTGTACCTGTTGAGGCTTCCTGTACCATTTAGAACTGTGGTTATGCAGAAGGATGCTACGAGGACTTGGCAGCAAGAACAGGGCAATCTAACTTCCCCACTATCCTCTATACAATTCTAAATAGCCCAACATAGAATTCTTTCCATTTGAATATTTGTAGGGTTTGCACTCCAAGCTGTCAATCTCATGGGGTGCTTTTAGATTAGGGACAGTGACTGGCCCTACCTGTCTACCCAGGAGTGCTTAGCTTACAATGGGAGCGGGGAAAAGCCAAGTATGTTGCTCGGAGCTTCTTAGAGTAAGCGCAGGACATAACGTAAGAAACAAATGTGTTTTCTTTCTTTCTTTCACATTGCCGTCAATATAATATGTTGGACAGATGTCAACTAATAAAAGGACTAAAGCTTTAAAATGTTTGGGGATTGGTTTGAATAAACAAAAGTGTTAAAAAAAAATTCTGGCCCATTAGGAGGAATTAAGGAAGTCCGGTTCAGTGGATATGTTAATCAGCTGATAGGGCAACAGCTAATGGTAATATTACCTGCACGGTTCTTTCATTTGTACTTCCAATTTGTTGTTTATAGAATAAAAAAGTGTAGTTAAATATCTAAAAACCTAAAGCTACCAGTGGTACAATGTTTTGGTGAATAAATTACTTGATGTTCCTTTCTTGCTTTTTTCTTTATGAGTTAATGGTCTGTAAATATAAAGGCTGTATTTTGTGAGTTAGAATTTTTTTAACTTATGTTGGACTATGTACACATTTTCAATTATTCTGAATCCAGATCCTTCCTGCATCCTTTCTCTTTTTAAAGAAATACAGAGGTACTTCTACTTATGTTCCCCTCTCGTTACGTATCCTTCAGGATACGCACGCGGCAAACCCGGAAGTATAGTTCCGGGTTTTGCCACATGCGCAGAAGCGCTCTATTACGCCGCACATGTGCGCAGAACAGGCACCTCCGGTTGTGGAAACCTCAGGATCCGACCGGAGCTCCGGAATGGATCCTGTCCACAACCGGAGGTACCACTGTACTGCACTTGATGCCTTTCCCCCCAAAACCAGCTTTGATCCGAATGGAAAAGGGGGGGGGGACTCAACCTAGCCGCATATTAAACTGATAATGTGTACATATAGATAATTATATAGATTAATTATGAAGTTAGTTTTTTATGACATTAATTAATGATGAAATTAATTTTGGTTTCAGGCTTCTATATTTAAAGGAGGGCACTGACAAAAATATTAGCAGGATGAGAGCGAGTAAGATTACAGTGTTGTCAATGTTAAGGGGCTTATGTTGTTGGCTTGTGTGCTTGCAGTCTGAACCTGTCGCTGATCAATATGATAGGCAGTAGTAACAATTTATTGGCCTTCTAATACTTCTTTAGCTGTGTCAGCAAGCTTGCTGGAACCCTGTGCTAAAATTAATTTTCCGTTTGGAAAGCAAATCTGTCAGTCTAGTATGCACTGCCCTGGTTTGTTTGTATTATTTTTATTAATGATGTTAGGTTGCATCATTCCTCAAATCACAATTTGTAAGAAGGCTTGGGCTCAAACATAGTACGAAACCTTATTTAGGTATTGCATCTAAATCTAGCCCTATCTCATTATATATAGTTAGCCAACTATAATATGGAGAGATCTACAGTATAGCTATTGCTGTAGTTGGTATGCTATGGCCCTTTGTGGGTTCCCCATACCTTTCCGGGTACCACCACCCAATTTATTTGCAGGGTCAGTAGAAATTGATGTTTGTGTTATGGCTGCTGGTGAAAACTTAGTGTGCATGTGTTGCAAATTAGTTTATGCTATCTTTAGGCTTTTGTGGCCTTTCTTTGAAACTACAGTAGTACCTCTGGTTGTGGAGGCGATCCATTCCAGAGCTCCGGTCGGATCCCGAGGTTTCTGCAACCAGAGGAACCTCTTCTGCGCATGTGCGTGCAACGAAACCCGGGAAAAAAACACTTCCGGGTTTGCCGCGTTCGCATCCTGAAGGATACGCAACCGGAGGTGTGCGTATCCAGAGGTACCACTCACTGTATTTGCAACTTGCAATTGCTGCTCTTGGCTTACGTACTGGCAACCTTGGTTTTGAGCGGGGGTTGCATTCTGAGCCATCACGCGTCTTGGCAGAGCGTGCATAAGCACACCCATTACACCCCATTCCCACTCCTTCCCCTGCCCCCGTTCTGCCCTTTTCCGGGTGTGAAAACAGCCTGTGTGTGCACAGACGTGTGTTCTTTGAAAGCATGCAAAACAGGGGTAAACATCCTTAAGAACAGAAGATGAGCCTTGCCGGATCAGGGCAAAGGCCCCTCTAGTCCAATATCCTTTTTCTCACAGAGACCAACCAGATGCCTGTGGGAAGCCCACAAGCAACAGCACTCTCCCTGCTTGTGATTTCCAGCCCTGGTATTGAGAGGCACAGTGCTCCTGACAGTGGAGCTAGATGCTAGAACATACCCACCATGGCTAACCAGTGATAGACTTACCTTTCATCAATTTGCCTTTTTCTATTGTAAAGCTCTCCAGTACAGTGACCATCACTGTATTTCATAGCATACTGCATGAAAAGGTGCTTAACTCTTTTAAGAAGGTAGGAGAACCAAAATATCAGATTAATGATTCCTTGAGTGCCTCCTCAATCTGATGTTTCGAGGGCATGGAGGCAGAACAAGCCCTACTCAGTTATGGACCACTCCCCCCGGCATCTTTCTTCTCCCTTCACTAATGTATTTACATTGTCAGGCAAAGACCCTTCTATTGTCCGAGGCCCTTTAATTCCATCTTAATCCTTTTAACATCCTTTAAATGTTGATATTAATATTGTAATCTTTAGGATTTGTTTTGTTTTGCTTTGTTTTTGGTGACTGGGACATGTTTTATCCCCTTAGGTTATTTTAGCTTTCTTGTGACCAGGTTATACCCTTTTTCTCATTTCGGCTTCTGTATTATATGAGTTTTAGTGTATATTTTGATTGTATTTTGTAGATGTTATGTTACTGAGCACAGTTATGATAAGTACTGTAGAAACTGAGAGGAACTCCACGTACTTCACACTTTAAAACAAACCCTGCACTGTTAGTGAGGTGAAATATATTAATAATTTGACCTCTACTGCCCTTGCATATGAACTTCATTTATGGGGGAAAGGGTGAGTCTTTAAAAGTTGAACATAACGCAAATTAGATTATTTGCTTTGTATTGGTTAAACTACTCAAACTGAAAATTTATCGTTTGTTACCTTACTATCAAGGCTTTGAACATCTATTTGGAAACTAAGCACACATACCTTTTTAGTGTTCTTGCAATGTTGCTATGGTAATAGGAAAATGTCTGCATAGTTAACAAGCCAATGTCAGGTAATGGAGGCTTTGCAAAAATAAGTTCAGCTAAGCATTTGCCTGGGGCACTGAAAAACAAGTTGCCCATAAAAGCTGCTTACCAACGAAAACTATTTTAGATGGAATTGGATTTATACAGTCTGTGCAGTCCTCTGATATGCTAATTGATATTGCTGTGGTTGGAGAGTTTGCAGATGGCAAATAACTGATGTAGGGGATTGCTGCAGAATAACTGCTTTTCCTCCTTTCTAAAAAAAAACCCAAACATGTTATGCAACAGGTAACATGCTTTATTGTGAGATAGCAGCACACAGCACACACAGTCAGCTGTCAAAAGTTATGTTGCAGTTACATTTTGTGCATGTGTTTGTGGCACATCTCACAATGTTTTTCATCATGAGAGCTATCGATTCACAAAATGTTTCATGCTTTATTTAATAAAATCTTTTCCCCTTCCTCTCTCTTTGAAAATGGGTTCTCCATTTGCACCAGTGTTAAATATGTTTAAGGCTAGCTAGGGTTCACTCTTAACCAAGATTTGGCATGCTGCTTGATCACTCTGAAGATCAGGCAGGGAAATTACCTCTAAAGTGGGAAAGAGGTGGAAGTAAGGCACACAGCAATGTTCCTGATCTTTTCAGGAGCAGTTGAGAGAGACCCATATATTTAAAATGCACTGTCTAATAGTTGCGGAACGGGATTGGATAATGGTTTGCTTTTTCACATGAGCTGGTACAGATTTTGCACTGATATTAGTGCTTGGAAATGGGGGGTGGTCAGTTCCCTGTCTTATCCATGAGAACGGTTGTGCACAAGATGCAGTCTTCCATGCCCAAATGACACACACACACACCCGCTTTTAATGGAATTGCCGCAGTATTGGTGAGATGAATGAGACTTTTTTTTAAAGGAGTGAGCACTTGAACATTGAAATGGTTACAAAAATGCTAAATTTAGTAATAGCAAGAGAATGTCTTTAAAGTATTTTTAAATCCTTTCCAATTTTAAGGCCTCAGCGGATTGCAGAATGTTAAAAATAGAAACTCTGAAAAGGTAGCTGCCAAACCCTTGTTTCTAATCGTTGGACTGTGTTTGTCCAGAGTCTTACTAACTTTCTGCAACTCCAGCAACATATTTCTGGCAACAAGAGCCCCCTAAGCCATGGGTAGGCAAATTAAGGCCTGGGGGCCGGATCCGGCCCAACCGCCTTCTAAATCCAACCTGCGGACGGTCTGGGAATCAGCATGTTTTTACATGAGTAGAATGTGTCCTTTTATTTAAAATGCATCTCTGGGTTATTTGTAGGGCATAGGAATTCGTTCATTCCCCCCTCCCCCCCAAAAAATATAGTCTGGCCCCCCACAAGGTCTGAGGGACAGTGGACCAGCCCCCTGCTGAAAAAGTTTGGTGACCCCTGCCCTAAGCCATAGCCAATATAAGGACTAGAAGAAACATTTAAGTTTTTTCCATGAGGTTTTGTTTTGAGTTGCCTTCATGTGTTCGCCATCCATGCAGAAATACAATCAAATGTTTGGGAACGGAAACTGTTTATCTGTGCATAATCCTGCTTTGTTTCCTCCAGGCATGAATCAATCATTGTGTGTGTGGGGGGGTGTTAAGTCAACTTCCTCTGCTGCTGCATCTCCCAGCATTCATTGCACATGTTGGGTGATGGTAGTTCCTGTTGAATATTTGCCTGCTTTGTGGCCGAACACTTTCTGTCTTTGTTTATGCTGCCGCTGCCATACCAGTTTCACTGGAACAGTGCGGCATGGATGATATTTTACCCTGGCTTTTCATGTGAATTATGCAGCATGCTGTGTATTTGAAGCTACAGAGCAAACCTCTGTCCAAACTCTGCTCTACTGCTGCGTACTGTATGGACTTTGCTTTGCTATTTTTGTGAATGCACCATTTCCATTAAATTGTGCCCTATTATTAATTAATGTTATGGTTGCGTTAATATTATGATGTGGTTTGAAGCACAGAGATTTTGGTACCAGCTCTGGAAATTATCATTAACAAAAATGCTAATGATGCCACAAGGCAAGCATCACACAAAATTAATTACAAGTCCATGTTTTAGATGCATGAGTGAAGAGTTAGCGATAAACGGTTTTTGAAATTAGAAATCAAAATTTAGAATTAGAATTAGCAATGCAGTGGTGTTTTACATATGACAACTGTTATGTAATGTAAATAAATAAATACTGTACTACTACTCTTTGGATGCATTTTGACACTTTGATACATTTGTGCTACTAATTAAAACCACTATTTTTGGTGCTAAATAAAACTCATTATTAAAAGATAAAGTCAAACTTTTTGTGAATTGATATGACATTGTGGTTTTTGAATTAGGTTGTTTTACTGCACTAGAAAAAGAAACTCAAAACAACTTTTAATGCAGGAAATAGTGATATTTTTCAAAAAGGAGTCTTATACTGTTGTCATACCAATCTTTTATTTTTCATATGCAACTTTTTAAAGTGGTAAGATATATATATTATGATTTAAGCCACATTTCTTAGAAGGACGCGGGTGGTGCTTAGTCTAAACCACTGAGCCTCTTGGGCTTGCTGATCAGAAGGTTGTCTGTTCAAATCCATGCGACGGAGTGAGCTCCTGTTGCTGTGTCCCAGCTTCTGTCAACCTAGCAGTTAGAAAGCATATCAGTGCAAGCAGATAAATAGGTATCACTGTGGCGGGAAGGTAAATGGCGTTTCTGTGCGGTCTGGTTTCCGTCACAGTGTTCCATTACGCCAGAAGCGGCTTAGTCATGCTGGCCACATCACCCAGAAAGCTGTCTGTGGACAAACGCCGGCTCCTTGGCTTGAAAAGTGAGATGAGCACTGCACCTCAAAGTCGCCTCATTGACTGGACTTAACCATCCAGGGGTCCTTTACCTTACCTTACATTTCTTAGACATTTCTTAGGCTTAGAGGTTCTTCAGGGTGATTCCTAAAATGCTTACAATAATAGAAATTAATAATGCAATATTTTTTAGTTATCAAAATTGGTTATTGTGCTCAATTTTCTGGCCAACAATAAAACACTGATAGGAGCATAACAATATTTTCGGTTTTTAATTTAACAGTTTTAATTTAACAGTTAAATAATTCATTTTGCGACATGTCAAAACTTTACACATTTTTTTAATTAAAAAAACAGTTTGGGTAACAGCACTATATTCTAAGCTACCTCGTGCAAAAACATGCTAGTAAGACTCATATTTGTTTTTGGAACTGGAACTTGATGACTTATTGTCCATGCATAGTACAGTGTTGCATACTGCTGCTTAATACAAAAAAGAAAAAAAAGCTCAGGCAGCTGGTTAAATGCTGCAGAGCTGACAATATTTGCAGTATCCTTTTTGCAAATATGAAAAAGTGAACTAAGGCAGCTGTATCGTTCTCCTTTCTGGTTGTGCTTTACATAGGATGATATTTTTCATGATTATGTGCTCAACATATCTTATACCTGATGTTCTTTTGAGACAGAGAAGTTATGTTCTATCAAGCCTTTTTTCAAATTCCAATCCCTATGAGTCATTTGCTGGTTAAAAAGATGCAGATGTTTTAAACTCATGGAATTGTCCTTACCATTGCATTGCTAAGCAGCTGTCCCTTCAAGCTAGCTAACACTGACGGCTGAAGGGTGGACAGCATGAACAGCAAGGTTTAACTTCCCTGTTCTTATAGTAGATCTGTGTTGTCTGAGCTCATTTTTAAAAAGAAATATATATATATATATTAACAGGCTGTTTGGGACAAGGAATGGAGGGCTTCCTGCCAAACCACTCAATATGGAACTTTTAGATTCAAAAGGGCTTTGCATATGCCTTGGTTAGGGAGACGCACCGTACATAATGTATTGTTTACCGGTGCACAGCAAAAAAAAGAAAGAATCTTAAATCAAATTTTGACTGCAGCCAAAAGCTTCCTTCTGGTCCTCTTCCAAGTTCTCCAGAATGCAGAGGAATATAAACTCAATATAATTGTACATTCTGAGTATGTGTGCTGTAATAACATTTGCAAAAGGCAAATGATTCTGGAAGAGCGTTGCACAGTTGGCCTCTGACCTCAGATGTGTGCCATGTGAAGGCATTTTTGTGTGGGGTTTTTTTAGGGGGGAATTTAGGAAGCATGTTAAATGTGCACACAAACCCTCACAGTATATGCATGCAAGCACAATGCACATATGTATTCCTGCCAATATGTGTAGTTAACATAAGGAGTCTGCCAGTATGGCTCCTCTTATTGGCTAGGTGTCATGGGAAAACACTAAGGCAAATAGAGTAGAAAACAAGTTCCTAATACACAAAGAACGTCATGATTCTACATGGTATTTATTCAGTGGAAAATAGTGCAGGAAGAGTCCATCTTCCTGGAGAAACTTTAGATAAATGTTGTGGAGGACCTACAGACTAATATTAGTTACAAAAAGGAAGGTAATGGATTGTACTTGTAGTAATTCAGTTTGTTTTTACAATCCAGGAAATGATGACTACAGTGGTACCTTGGGTTACATATGCTTCAGGTTACAGACTCCGCTAACCCAGGAATAGTACCTTGGGTTAAGAACTTTGCTTCAGGATGAGAACAGAAATCGTGCTCTGGCGGCGCAGCAGGAGGAGGAGGCCCCATTAGCTAAAGTGGTGCTTCAGATTAAGAACAGTTTCAGGTTAAGAACGGACCTCCGGAACAAATTAAGTACTTAACCCGAGGTACCACTGTACAGCTACAGAGCAGCTTGGAGCCATCCTTGATGTTAACGAAGGATGGGAGGGATTTCCCAGTGCTGTGTCTGCTGCAGATATTTCCATAATAGGCTCAGTTGTGTTCAGTTTGTAAAATGTAAGCACAGAGACCCCTTTTTGACACACAGTTTTTCGAAATGCAGCCCTTCATATGCTAAGTTCTATGTGCATGGTAACAGTGCCTAAAAAGAACACTTGCTTCGCATGCCGCCACCATAAAGGAATGTGCTTCACCTGAGAGAAGGGTGGCAATAACCATCCACCAACTTGCTTCTGTTGCAAATTGCTAAGCTCTTTGTTACAATGTACATAACGTTGGCTGAAGTCTCTGAATTGATTAGCAGAAAACTTCCTGGACTGTAATCAAGATAGGCAATCTGCAGTGATCAATTAATTTGTAGCAAAAGAGACCTCCAATTGTGTTAGTGCTTGGGCAAAAGTCATGTGCCCCTTTCAGTTCCAGACCTGTTAACTATTATAAATATGATTCCTTGCAAACCATAGTGGATTCAGAATGTTCAGATGTGTCTTGACAACTGTCATGATGCTAGAGTCCTGAGAATACCCTGTGGTCATTGGGTAACCATGACCAAGGAGAACATGGAAGTGAGCAGGTGTTGTTGGCTGTTTGGCTTATCTCTTGATATCATGTTAATGCAATAGTTTCCATGCTCTTCAAATAATGCGGACAAAAACTTTAGCCATATTCTAAGGGTATCTGATATCTGGGTAATAAAAGGAAGCTAGAACATGTTTCTGAACTGTGTAGATTTCAGCGGCTTCTTTGCACAACATTTGCTGCCATAAATGAGAGGTTATTGTATGGTACATCATTCATTCATTCATTCATTCATTCAATTAGAGCAGAAATATGACCTTGGAGCTCTTCATCTGCACAGCACACACCTATCCGAAGATCTAAGTGAGAAATAGAGAATGTGAGGGGAAATGATGCAGAATATGATTTACAATCACTTTTGGCCATTCCTTAAATTTTCTTCATTTAAGACAATGTCTCAGAGATACTAATGAATTAAAAACAAATTCAGACATAAGAAGAGCTCTGCTGGATCAGACCAAAGGCCTTTCTCGCCCAGCATTGTGTTCCCATATGACCAACCTGTAGACAGGAGCCCTCTCCCACTCATAATTGCCAGCAACTAGCTCCCAGAGATATACTACTGAGCGTGGAGGTAGTATCTAGCCAATGATAGCCTATTCAAGTGGGCAGCCATCATTACATCTTTTAGTAGTGAATTCTGTAGTTTAGCTCTTCTCGTGCCTCCTTTTGGCTGTCCTAAATGTCTTTTGCCATTTTGCTTGATTGGGTTCAAGTATTATGATAGAGGAATAAAAAACATTTCCAAACCAGCTTTCTTTATACTATGTGTAATTTCACACATCTCCATCCTGTCCACCTTCTTTCCTTTTTCTGAACTAAAAAAGTCTCACATTGTAATTTTTCCAGATAGGGAGGTTTTTCCAATTTCCTGATAATTTTGGTTGTCCTTTCCTGCAGATATAAGAGGCATTTTATTTTTATTTCATTCAATATGTAGAATGTGAGTATTTGTTCAATAAAGTGTTTAATACAAACTAAGCAGCTTTAGTCTGTAAGCCTTAAAGTAGTTCCCTGTGTCATTGTCAGCCAATATACCCATGCACACATTTTTTAAAGAGTGCATTGATTGATTATATAACATGGCAGAAATCCCAAATTTTATGTACAGTTCTACAAAGTATGAAACAGAGAATATATAATAAAATTATAAAACTGAAAAAGTGGGAAAGTAGTAAACCTCTACAGGTCAAACATTGATATCCATCTAGCCATAATGTTAAAATGTCTATAAATGGTCTCAGATTGTTTATGTATGTATAAGCATGTTTAGTGCACAGTTCTGGCCGAGTTTAGAATTTGCAGATTACATAATTCACTTCTTACAACTGCATCCAATAGGCTTCACACATTATCAGTTTTCATTTTTAAAAAATAAGTATCTTTAAAAACAGCATATTGCGAACTGCATTGCTCACCAGATATCAATAAAGATGCAGTTCCAAGAGATATCAGATTGGGTTACAGAAGTGTATGCCTCCTCCTTGTCCCTATATTAAGGATAGAATCTGAACGTGTGGTTCTACTTTTTCTTGAGCAAATCCATTTTTCCTTGAAAGTGATACTGTCTTTCAATACACAGAAGTGATGTTTAAAAATTATGCTAGCACAGAAGACAATGATGAAAGGAATGGCAGGAAAAATACCCAAGTTAGTACAATTAAAGGGGATGCCTGGAGACAGTTGCTCCAAATTAGTCTTTTGTAATTTGCAGTACGTGGCTGGATAAATATTTGATAGTGCACCCTCATGAAACAGGCTGTTGTCATGATTTCAGCTGTAAAGAGAGAGAGAGAGAGAGAGAGAACCTATAATTTATGTGGAAAACATGGAATGCCATTCATGCAAACATGAAATCCATATCAAAACAATATAATCATATGAGATTTGTAAAATTTCAACTGGACAACTGGGGAGGGAGGATGAGAGAAGCAAACACAATAATCAGTTCTTACAGTTTCTTACTACAACCAGCAAGGATTGAAACAGCCTGATGAAATGGCTGCTGCCAGGTGACAGCTGAGGTCTCTCTCAGCAAACCTGATGGAATAGCCTTATTTTCCTTCTCTTCCAATACTTTGCAGCCTGTCTGAATAGCTGATGCTAGGAGACTTGGGGGGGGGGAGCAAAAGACAGCTGGTTTCTCAGTGGAGCTAATGGAATAGATGTTCTTCCATTATTTCCTTTTGCTGCAGCCACTGAAGACAGTGAGACTGAAATAGAGGATGTGTGGAATCAAGGAGGAGTTGAAGGGCAGTGTGCACGCATTTGCCATCCACATTGAACTCCTTTTCATAGACGGAAGGTAGCCTCAGTTTAAGAAAGTGCTTAGCTTGTATTTTAATGAATCATGCTAATGAGTTCCTTCATTAAAATATAGTTTGCCTTATGTCTGATTTTGCACAGAAATAGCAAAGACGAAATAAAATAGAGGTTGTACAGTATCTGGCAAAGAAATAGTGCATTGTGTCTATCCATTGCAGCGGAGAAGGGCAGGACATGCAAGAGGCTGGTTGAGTTTGTAGGAACTGTTGCCAAGAGGCAGAATCTAGGGTTTATGTTACTTGGTAGGAAGAGGAGGGGAGGATTAATCTTTAAGGCTCGAGGTATGTATTTTTCCAGGCCTTGGAAAAGCATGTCACTTGTGTGGGCAGAGAAGTGTTTTTGCGCCTTGTGATCCAGACTTGGGGATGGTTATTTAAAACTGTTGGATGCCTTTGGAATTAAGCATGCTTCTCACTCCTGCCTCATCCCTCATGCTAAGAGAGGTGTGTTGCGAGAGACTAGAGAGGGAAGGCAGATGCAAAGATGGTGGGGTTTTTACATCTGTTAATTATTCCAATACAGTCGAACCTCTACTTACCACCGCCTCTTCTTACAGTCGTTCCAAGTCGCAACCGCGGCAAACCCAGAAGTAACCAGAAGTTTGCCGCCGTTCACGCATGCACAGAAGTGGGCAATTGCCGCCTGTGCACAACGGCGTCTCTCCCAGCAACCCGTTTCGACCTGTGGATGGACCTCCAGAACGGATTATGGTCGCAAATAGAGGTTCCACTGTAGTGTAGGGCACTGGGAAGAAGACTTTTCCACCAATGATTGCTGATACTTTGCTTCAAAGCCATTCTATGAATATGCTAAATCAGGCAACGTGGTAGCACATATGAATCACGTATTTCTGTAGCTCACCTTTCTTAAGGCTGCTTCACACATTGTTTCCTCGTCTAAAGAGGCTTCTGTTAAAAAAAGGTTACCTCTATGTGCACGATGAACACATGGGGATAAGTGTGCTTCACCTGTGGCGTGCTCCCTGACGTACATACACACAGCAGCAAGCGTTCATTTGCCACTGCATCATGTGTCATATGGCCCGTATGTGCATATGTGTGTTCTTCCTCTTTGCATATAATATATTGCTTTCCTTAGAAGTGTGCCACAATATGCTCTTTTTGGTTTTGACTTGTATTGAAGATATTTCAAAATATTGTAGGAATAGAAACAAGTAAAAATGAACATTCCAACCGGAGTTTTTAAAGCCGTTAAGATCAGCCAGGGTTTTTTTCACGCTTGTTTAAAGCCGCATCCAGGGAAACCTGGGCAATGGGGATGGCCCTTCTAGGCTTGGTGCCGCATATTATCTTCATAGTGCAACAAGTGGCAAGTCTACGTTACTTTTACATTAGCAGCAGCCAAGTTAATTTGGCAGGGAAGAATAATGTGGAAAACAGTACATTGAAAGGATACAACTCTTTCCTGTCACTCAAATAGCATCAGGCTTGGTTGGTAATAAGTCATATGGAAATTGCTGGGGTTTAATTTTAGGTAAACCTGTTTTGGGATTGACATCCAGTTTTGCTCTGGAACTGAATAGCAGATAAACAGATGAGTGGACAGAGGAGCATGTGTGAAGAAGTGCTAAACATGTCTTTTTTCTGGAGTGGACAGTTATTCCTCAAATAGCTCCCTTAGACTTATAAACCAGACAGGTGCATTTGTTAAATCATCTTCTGATGGATCTGATTGGTACAAAGCAAAGTTTATTTACACCTCTCACCTTTTGATGTACATTCTGAAAGATCATGGGACAATGGCATTTCTCGATTCAGTTCGAAGGTACTAGTATAACAGCTCTCACAAATACTTATCTTCAGTTACTCTTATGCCAAGGACAGGCATAATGTAAAAAGATGCCATCATGAGCAGGTGGCAGTGGCCTGATTTCTTCCTGCTTTTGCAGTTCTTTTGACAGATGCAACAATTTGAATGGTGGCTCATCTGCAAGTCTTGACCTTAGGTGCTTCCTGCCCTGGGCCAGGAGGTGGGCAGCTTTTGTGTTTTTAAGTACCATGTGCCCTCATGTTATCACAAGGAAACAGCCTATCAGCATGGTTTTATAGCTGACTGAATCTGCAGGTGCTGCCCAGTCAATATGGGAGAAGTGGGGAGCTTTCCAAACGGGACTCACTGCTCTAAAAACATCCCATCTGCCTTACTTTTCGGTTAAGAGTTTTAGTTGATTTTGCATATCTAGTATGCAAATATGATAATTTAATCCTTTAGCCTGTTGTTCAGCCATTCATAAAAAAATGCCACTATAAAATTTTACAATTAGCTAGCAAAATACAACCAAATATGGTCATGGTCAGAGCAATAATGCCATATTCAAAATAGGATGCTGTACTTACTATAGGTGACTTCAGTGTTCCAAATTCTGTTTCTGGGCAAGGGAGTGTTGAGTATACATTTAGTTGTTCAGGCCAGATCTTTTGCATTGTATTTTAGTACCTGTTCCAGTGATCAGTGATTTATTCTTAAACATTTAGATGACTGTTCCATGCATCTTCCTCTGATACCACTATATTTGCACAAGTCCTGTCTTCATATTTGCCTTTATTTTATTTGCCACTTTCTATTTTTGACAGCTTAAATGATCATAGGAAACATGTAAAGAAGGACTTCACTTGTTAATAGATTTTAGGAGTAGTGCAGGGTAATAGTGGAGGGAAAGTCAGTAATTTTTAAGACACAATTATTATATTAATAAAAAATATAAACAATATATTATTAATATTGGCATCATTGCATTGTAACTACCCAGATTTAAGCTTGATGAGGCCCTAAGCTACTGAAGGTTATGGGGCCCTTTATATGTCCAGCTGTCCTTTGTCAAGAACAAATTGTCACTTTTTTTGTGTTGAATATTTTAGGGAGCAGGCTAGCAGGCGGGGCCCATTACTTACATCATAGGAGCCTACACAACGCAAAACACTGTTGCTGTATGTAGGTTTTATTTTATTTGTTTTTTATCTTATATTTTGGTAAGGTACATCCAGTTCCCCCCCCCCCCTTTAAAATTTTTTGAGGCCCCCCAAGAGAATGGGGCCCTAAGCTATAGCTTGTTTAGCTTATACATAAATCTGGCACTGGAACTACCTATGACCTTACTGTGGTTATAACAGAACAACTTGGCAAGAATTCTTGCATTTAGGTTCAGAATTTGGTGCAAGAGCTATTGAGAAAGACAAAGTAACAAGGAAAACATTGCTACGTTGATGAAAAGAGTGGGTTCTAGGACAAAAATTAAGCCAATACATATAATATCAAAACAATGATACTGTATTTAATAAAGATTCTCAAATGACTTTTTTTTTAACTTGACAGTTCAATTTTTATTTTATTTTTTGTTTTAAAGATCAGCTTTCTTTCTTTCTTTCTTTCTTTCTTTCTTTCTTTCTTTCTTTCTTTTTGCAGATTTGCCCTCATTCTTCTCAGTAACAGTTTATTCATCTTTGCATTACAAATTTCTTGGAGTAGATTTAGGCTTGCTGTTGTTTTGCATTGCAAGCAGGAACTGATTAAAATCTCCCTCTGGGAAAAAAACCCCTTGTAAGTATGGACTGTGTGGCTGCTGAATAGAACATCTTTTCCGTTCACTCTCATGGTTGCTGCTGCTATTCATGCTCCGTTTTGCAGCCATTAGATAGCATGGGGAACTGACTATCTTATGAGACAAATATAACTCCATTAGTCAGCTTGCGTGGGTTGCTGATACAGAATGCAGTCAGTAATTTCTCCTGGTGGATTTTTTCAAGTCTGTTGCATCCTGTTAAAGTGTGTCGAAATGTACATATCCAGAATTTGACACCCCCCTCCCGTTTCCTACATCAGCTAGCTGTCTTCTTCTAATGTAATTGTATTAAGATACATTGAGACTAAATCTGTATGACATGTAATCCCCATGAGAAAAACACCTTCTGAGATGTGAGTGCTTGCTGTGGCAAGCTGAGATCCCGTTAGTGGAACATTCTGTTGTGAAACGTTTGTTACAGGACCGATCATCGGGGATCCCTTTTGGGACCAAGTATAAATATTTGCGTAAATATATATTACTAGGCATATTATACCAGAATCACCTGTTTTGCAAGCCCTCTTAATAAAACAGTAATTTGTAGAGTTATTGAAAGGATAAGAAGGGTAATGATAATGTACTTTGTCAGCTTAGTGGCAGAATTGGGTTTTAAAGCTAGATGACCCACTTGCATTCCATACGACATTGCAACACACAGACATATTGTTCCCTTTTTATATTGATGGGAGTTGGAGCTCTTGTGCAATTCAATGCAGCTCACACAGAAACCCTTCCCAGCAGACAGTGTCCTTTACTTTCGGAAATGCATGTCCAGAATACTTTGAAATCTTATTAGCTTGCATGGATACCCTCTGCCAGTACTTGGGAAATGTAATATGTGGGCCAAATGTTCAAGTTAGTATTTTAAAAATCTCTCCACTTATGAGAAACAGTTCATCTTCCTAAGACCTTCAGAACATGGGTGGGTGTGGTGTTTAAGGCTGGCTATGTATATATATGTGGAAAAGGTGCGATTTGATACTCAAGTACCAGGAGTTCAGCCCAATGTAATTTAAACTAGGCACAAGCATTCAACCAAAACCTCCTTTTATTAGTGTTAAAGTGCAGTGTTTCAGTAATACAGAATAGATTTAGAAATGTTATGTAACAATATTGTGCAGCCAGTTAACTATTAGACAACTAGGTTTTCCTCCTAGTTGCTAAGCAAAGAGGAGAGGAGTTGTCAACGTTAAGAAATCATCTTAGGGGCATTGCTGAGACTGCGATACAGTCCTCTGTTTCTACACCCAGGAGCAGACCTATTGGCCACAAGGTTTTAAAACTCTGATAGCTTTTCAGATAGTGAGGTGCAGACAAGTGCTATGTTTGTCATTGGAACTGTCTCTTGCTGGCCTGTGTTTGTGGAGCAGCAGTGTTTTTTGGACTATGCCAGGGCTGGTTAACCTTTGTTGGCCTGAGCCTTCCATGGACACATGCCAAGCCACCCTACACTCTTGCTAGCACAGGCAAACTGCTTCTTCCTTAACTGATTGGTGTGTATGAGCTGAGGAGGCAGCTGAGGAGGCAGTTATCACCCTTTATCTTATCAGATGAGCTAGCAGATGACTAGAGATGGACAATTTGCATCCCTATCAGGGCACTAGGCAGCGCAGAGCATTCGCCACAGCATGATGATTTCCTCCCCCTTCTTTTTGTTGTGGGAGGGATCCTTGTGAGGGGAACAAAAAATTGTTGGGGAGTGAAGCCCCTATGCCAAGAGTAAACCCCCTATGAACTGTACACCTGTGATGGTGGGGTTGTTGTTGTTGTTTGCGGGGAGTGGATTGAATCAGAAGAAGTTTCCTATGAAAACTAGGGTGATTTGTGTCAGAAAGAAACTCAGCACCTGAACATTTTATAAGAGCAAACTAATTTGGCCTGTTTAATATACTTTTATTTAGTAAACGGCTCTAAGAACATTGAAACGGCCCAGGAATACCCCGCCTCCCCCCCCTCCAAAATTGCAACTAGAATCCATCCATTGTTACTAGTAAACATATGAAATAGAAAATTTTCCGTAGGAATTTTCCACCGCACACCACTGCTTTACACTTAAAAATCTGCCTTGCTGTTAAGTATCAGAAATAATAGTTTGAATCCAAACAAGTACTGCAGGACTCTGCTTGTGCCATGGGGCCTCCTCACCTACTTCTCTCTGCCGCCTTCTGTGCCCTCTGGAAAGCTCCTAATATTTGTGCAACCCTCCAAAATGGTGTGGAATGTGACAGTGGGGGGGGGGGCGTGCAGCATGGGGGGGGGTGTGAATCAATTTAAACCACGGAGGCCACTTTGCATAAGCACAAGCCCACATTTTCTATGACTACTGGTAATCTTTTTTACACCCATTCTTTCTGTTTGTTCAGTTGTTCTTGAAATTTCTCAGTACAGATGCATGAAAAACACACTTTTTTTATTCTTCAAAAAAAGCCTACATGTTGCTTTACTTTCCTATATTCTCAGAGCCTGGTTCATTTTTGCATTATCTTCAGTGGTATATTTTGGATGACAAGAGCCTAGTAAATAGTTTATTTTATCTGACCAGCACTACCATTCTACCCATGGCAGTTGAATCCCAGGTCAGGCTAACCATTTTGCAATGCCCAAGGTACAAAGACTACTTTGAGATACTGTTAGCAGATCTGCTAGAGTGTCTGTCCACATGTATCATGAAAACATGCCTTGCACACTTAAAGGTTAATTTAGAGGAGTTAGCAATATTATTCTTGGGATCTTTAGACAATGGTTGTGCACACAGGCAAAATTGCATTCGCTTTTATAATCTTGCTTATTTTGGGAGATTTAGCACAAACAAATGTTAGTGTGTTTTTTCCAGAGGAATAGCATTGCTGCTATTGTAGTTTTTATAAATTAATGAAGGTTTAAAGGTGACAACATGCCAATATAACATGAGTTAGAAGCAACAAAAGCAGCTTCGCAGCTTGGAGCATCGTTTGAATAGATCTATATATCAATATCTATCTATATACAAAAACTCTTTTGATGTTTAATTGTTTTTTAATGGTTGCTTTTCTCTCTATGTTTTTAGCTGTTTCTATGTTAGCTGTAAGTCACCTTGAGTCCCTGTGAAGGAAAAAGGCAGGCTATAAATAAATATTAAAATTACAGAAATACCACTACAGAATACAGAGGGTTAAGAACATTGTACAGGGGAGAGTCATTCACCCATTGCCTGGACTGTGTACTTAGTTATTAAGACAGAGGGGAGAGACTAGAGGCAGAGTCACTTAATCAGGAATTATGAGGCAGAGTCTTGGAGAGCCAGCTTTGGTGCAGGAAACACAGAAGAACCAGGACTCGAGAAAGGCGGTATGTAAAGTAGTAGTTTCTCCTTCTCACATGACCATCTATCATGGATGCTTTTTAGTTGAGATTCCTGCATTGCGGGAGGTTGACTGGATGATCCTCATGGTCCCTTCCAACTCTACAGTTCTATGATTCTGTGACCCAGAGGTAGATGAGATTGAGGGAAAACAGGAGAGAGAAGTAAGAATGTTGGGGCACTATTTGTGGTAGATATGGTAGTAGATTCCAGAGTTTATGGGACATGATATAACCTCCTTGTGATTGCCATGTGCCTACTGCTTATGCCAGCTTAAACCATGAGGGCTTTCCCTGGTGACCACAGTGATGCTCTCGTTGCTCGGAGCAAAGCCAGTTTATACGCATACTCTTGGACGGGGGATGTACAGAGTTCCAGCTGAACTGAGCTCCTTGGTAACAGGAGTTGCTAGGCAACAGCAGGATAAATTCTGCAAGTTGTCAATATCTCAGGCACTTGTTACTTGGGTAGAAGGGCCCAGAGGTCCAGTTCAGACCAGCCTTGGTTAGATTATTGCACCCTTATTCAACAAAAGAATTCCTAATGGGACTAAACCCAATGAGTAGGAAAATTCTCTCCCCTCCCCGATTGCATTTGTATACATCTATGTTTTTGTGTTCATACCTGTTATGAATTCTATGCAGAAAAACACTTTGGAAACATTAGAGTCACTTAAGTTCAGTAGCCACGTGACCACCGCAGCACCACTCTTCCCAGTAAGTATGACAGGGTGATTTGAGAAGCCCCAGAGCACATGGGAAGAACTCTTCCCAAAGCAGTTGGTTTTGGGAAGAACCACAGTTTGGGCTTCTGTGTAAACTTGAAGTTAGGTGATATGACCTTATGCCACCACAGATATGACCTTATAGCCACCACAGTCTTTCAGCAGCTCTCAGTTAAGGAATAACATGAATATGTTCTCAATCTTCAAGTAAAATGGATACTTTCTCCAGTGTAAGTAAGAAGACATTCATCTCAGGGAAGTGTTCACACTGAGGCTGGGAAGGCAGGGCTAAGACACCTTTCCTGATAAGTGTATGTGAACTTGTGGTCTGTTTTCTGTTATTCACGTGGCTAGCTTTCTGATCTGCAGAGACTCCACTGCACAAGGTTGTTTCCTGCTGTCTACCATGGGATATTTACTGGATGTAGCTTTATGGCCTGCTAGAAGTCTGTTTGTATAGTGTTAGAAAGCAGAAAGTAATTTGGATGGCAGTAAAGTTTCATAGCTGTAAAAATCCCAACTGTAAGCAAAGTTTATGTAGCAGTTTCTCCCTGGTGCCGCGGTGTATGCCTTCGCCTCCCCCTCATCCAGCGTTCGCTGTTGTGTATAATAAGTTGTGGTAGCAGAAACGGGAACACAGACATCTACATTTCCTTCTTTTCAAAGTGCGCTGGTAGGGGAGCTTTCCTTTCCTCTCTTGGAATGAAGGAACACACCAGATGGACCATTGAAGTTTTTATGTACTACGGCGAAGCGCTCTCTAGAATGAAGGCGAGCTCTCAACCCCCTACTGTAGTTTTAAGAAAGGCTGAGACATGACTAAGTGGAATGGAAATGGGGAGAGCATGTGGTGTTGTGTATATTTGGGTGGGGTGGGGGGGGTTAATTTGTGAATTTTCTATCTCAAGTTTTCCAGAAAACTAGCAGTCCATTGTATGTGTATCTTAACTCCTTTATTGTTTTGCACACATTTATAATTCAGGATGATTACAGACTATCGGTAATTAGGAGGTTTGTTTTCCAGCTGAAAATGAATTTTACTTTCATAAAGAACAATGCCAGGGTAGAAGTTGAAAGTGCTCATTCAGCATTGTGGTCACCATTGTGGTTCCTTGCAAAAATCAGACGCTTACTTCAGTTTGTGCAGAGTGGGGTGTGTGCATCTCTACAGAATTTGCTCCTACACAATTTGCTCCTACACCACTTTTAAGTTTTAAAGAATATAATGTGCTGTAAATATTGTGCTTGATGTGTGTGTTTTTATGTGTGTATGCCTTCAAATGTACCTGTGGTATATTTGGAAGGCCCTATTTGGAAAGGAAAACAAGGCCCTTAAAACCTAAATTGGTCAGTTCCTTGTCATTTTAAGGCTGAAGCGACGGAGGAAAGAGATGTTTATTTCCTTAAAATGTTTATCTCCTGTTTTTTGAAGTGAAAAGAATGAAAAGGCAGCTTACAAATCTGAAACCCAAGTATGATTTTAAAACAATAATCAAAACAAAAGAGAACACAACAGCAAAGAGCAGAACAGAGGCAAATGTTAATTAACTCATTGATTAGCAGTTTTTTAAAAAACAAACAGCCAAGCAAAAGAATCCCTTCATACTTGCGAGGCCCCAGAGGCACTCTGGAAAAGCACAAACTTTGCATGGTGTCTCTTTATTGGAATTCAATAATGTTTTGTTATATATAAATAAGGGGATTACTTAAATTGCCATAATGAAAAACATACTATTTGTTATTAATCTGCTAAGTTCCTACATCTTTGTCAAGCATCCTGTTAGTTTCTCTGTAAACAGTAATATTTCACATATTTACTCCATTCTTTCCAGAAATCAAGAATGTTTACTCTTGTTTTGCATGACATACAAGTAATATACAAGTTTAATTTTAGCAAGCAAAATCTCAAATGTCAGTGCATCTTTTTGAAAGTTTTGCTATGAATATTTTTGATAATTACTGTGGTGTCACTTACAGAATATAACTACCAAATGATTATAACTACCAAATGAGACCCTTCATATCTCTTATTAATAATTGTGTCCATAGGAATATTAGCATGTATAATTGGGTTGATAAACACCTGAATCATTTGTCAAGAAACTCTGATTTTGAGACACATCCACAATTAATTATTTTGAGGGGGGTGGGGTGTGCTATTAATATAGCCCCATCTGTAGCATGTACCACCAGACATTAGAAATGTCAGTTTTAACCAGTGCTTCTTTCCCTGAGGGTACTCAAAGGTTTTCCCCTAGAAAAAAAGCATTGGTTAAAAATGTGGCACTTACTGTAACAACTTCACAGTGAGTTTTCACCTGGTTTTGACCTTGATATTATTCACTGGGAAGTTATATAACTTTTTTAAGTTTTAAAATGTGTTAAATGTTTTTAAAGTGGTTTTTTTAATAAAAACTTAAATATATTGTTTCGCTGTTTCAGTTGCTTTTCTGAGCTCCTTTGAGAGGAAGGTTGGGATAGAAATTTAACAACAACTTATAGGGTGCACTGCTAAGGAATCAATTTGCCTAGTGTCTGAAAACCAGGAAAGATGGGCAGAGTGAACATCTTGAAAGCAGGGCCAGGGGGGAGTTCCATAGTGTGTCACAGCTCAAAAGTTCCCGCTTTGGGCTATTTTCCACCATGTTCCAGATGACAGAGGGGCAAGGTGTAGGGCTTCTGAGAAAGATCTCAAATTACATGTAGGTTCCTTTTGAAAGGGGTGGTTCTTAAGTTATTCAGACCCAGGACTTTCAAGTTCAAACTAGCACTTTGAATCTGGCATGAAAGCCAATGAACCTTTTAAAATATTTTCATTATATGTTCCCTCTAGCTCTCTGCGTCTTCTTGATCCTATGTTCTGAATCAGTTGCAGTTTCTGATAACTCTTCAAAGGCAGTCCCAGGTAGAGTGCACTGCAGTAATTTAGTTTCTATGTGACTTAAGGAATGAATTACCAAGGCTTAAGCCATTCTTATCTAGAGAGGTTGCAGCTGGCATATCAGTCTATACTATAGGAAAGTGCACTTGGGTTTATACACTGAAAAGCAATAAAACTTCCCATTAAAAAAGATAAAAAAGAGAAAGTGGTCTTGGACACTGCAGTTTTGTGGGCATTTAGGAGCAGTTTGATCCAAGAGAATATCCAAGCTGCAAATGTGGGTCTTTAGGATGCATACTGCCAGTGTTAGAAACTCAGATATATAAGCTAATCGCCAAATGGCACCGTAATGTTACAACAGAATGACTAGGTACCTTTTTTTGCAATGAAATAATTTGTTGTTGTTGTTATACTGCTTTATAATTAAAAGAAAAAAATCTCAAAGTGGTTTACAACACATTAATATATCAAATAAAAGAATCCAGAATACTGTAAAATAAATACAAACTTCAAGGGAAATATTTCAGATCCTTCTCTAAGTGACATTTCGCTTTCGTCATATTTATTTACCTACTTCATTTATATAGCTTCCCCATAGCAGAAGTACTCTAGGAAGCCAGTGTGGTGTGGTGGTTAGAGTGTTGGACTAGGACCTGGGAGATCAGGGTTCTAACCCCCATTCAGTCATGGAGCTCACTGGGTGGGTGACCTTGGGCCAGTCACAGCCTCTTAACCTATCTCACAGGGTCGTTGTAGGGATTAACTGTGGAGGGGGGTGAACCATGTACTCCTTGGAGAAAAAGATGGGTATACATGCAGGAAAATTAACTCTTCTGCTCACCTATTTAAGAAAGCTGGAGGGTCTAAATAGATGGATATTTCAGTCACCAACCTGGCATCCAGAGACCTCCACATAGTTGCAGTTGGACCTGCGCCAGTCCCAAAATGCATATGGCGCCTGGCGAATTTCTAATACTGCGTGCAACCCCATCTAAAGCAGGAGGTACACATACTGCAGAATCACCCATGTTATCAACCAGCAGCTCTGTATTGTTTAGATTAACTTTGAGTTTATTCTCCCTTCTCTAAATCATCAGTGAGACCTGAGACATCTTTAAAAAAAATTCTCTGCATCCCTAGGGTCAAATGGAAAAGAGGGAGAATTGGGTGTGGTCTTATATACTCAAGGCATTGTATCCCACACCTTAGGATTACCTCACCTATCAGTTTCATTTAAATAGCATGGGAGACAAAGTAGTTTCTTGTGGCAACCTGCAAGCCCAAGGCCGCTGATGTGAGTGACACGTCTCCCGACACAGTTTTCTGAGATCTGTTCAGAAAGAAGTACTTGAACCACTGCAAATTAATGTCCCTACAGTTCCATTATAGCAATGCAACCCAGAAGGACACCATGTTTGTTCCTTATGAAACCACTGAGAGATCCAGAACCAACTGGAAGGGTTCTCCTCCTCCCCCATCCATCTGATTGAATAAGATCACCCATCAGGGTTTCTCCCCCCAAACGGGATCATGTAATTCATTAGAGTGATAGCTTTTACTACCTTTCCTTGATTTAGCTGTGTCCTAAGAGAAGAAAAACCTAAAATATGTTTACATATGAGTAGTTCTATTCATAGAAATGCATGTTTTCTAAACACAGTTGACCAGAGCCCCTGTATTGAATTTAAAAAAATCAGTTCCTTGTTTGTTCCTGTGTTACAAGTAGACCATTCCACAGTACCAACTGAAATACTAGATACACTGTAGTGAAAGGGCTTCAGGATGTCTTGTGGTGGTCCGTATATTTATTTATATAAGTGAACCTATATTTCCGTTTTCGGGAAGAAAACAAGTTAGGAAATAGCAAAACTAAATGTAGAGAAAACCAGTGTGTGTTAGAGACGAGCCAGAGACAACAAACCATCAGCGCTATTAAATAGTGCTGCTTTATGCATTCTGAAACGTATTACACTGGATGGATTATCCAGGCCCAATGTAGGTTTATGCACTTTCCATATAAATTGTGACTGCACCTCCATTGTAAAAAATGAACAGCTACTGGTTTAATTGCTCCCTACTTCAGACAGTTGAAGCAAGTGCACATTTTGGAGAATGCCATGTAGGTGTGTGATGTTGTATAGAAACATGCAATCAAATATGTACACTCTAATTTCCTTTCATGTCACTGATGGGGGGAAAAATGCTTCAGCTTGCACCAGCCTGTGAATAAAGTGGAAAAATGCAGATGGTAAATTAACTTACTTGAAAATAGTATCTGGTTGAAGTTGTGGCTATAAAACAAGTAGAGACAGTATATTTGCTCTTGTGGAAGACACTAGTCTTTGAATTTGCAAAATGTACTATTAAAACCGTTTGTGCACATTTCTGTAGTTTCTTCTGTTAGTGGGTTTCCCCCCCTAATTTGGCTGTTTTTTAAAAAATCATATTGATTGATATTAACTGCTTTCCAGTGCATTTTAATATATCCAGGCTCAGGTAAGTAAACAATTGGGGTGGGCTGATGGTTTACCTTTTCCCATCCTCACAATTTCTTACCATCCCTCCATATTCTTCAGCAAAATAGTTTTCTTCTCTTGTCCAATGAAGTGTAAAGCAGCAGTCTCTTATCACTGTGTCAACTTTTAGTGTCCACCACATCCGTATACAAGTAATAACACTGTACCACTTTTTGTTGTTTATTTCTAAAATTTATATGCTGCTTAATATAAAAAGAAACATCTAAGCAGCTTACATAAAGCATAATAAAATCAATATAAAAGCATGTAAAACAGAGCAATCAAAAACTTTTCCAGAGTAGAATAAAACTATAAATAAAATTGAGTATATAAAAAAGTTGTCTTAAACACAGTGCTTTTTTTCTGGGGGGACACAGGGGTATGCATACCCCTAAAAATTTTGTGAATCTTAAGTTTGGCCTCATTATGGGGCAGTATTTCAATATGAGTAGGAAAATGAGAGTACCCCTAAACATTTTTTAGAGAAAAAAACACACTGGGTAAACACATATGTCTTTAAGAGGCACTTAGAAAGCTTATTTCTGTATTGTCACCAAGTGACAATCCACTGGTCACAAAGTGGCCAGCAGGGTTTTCTTGGAAGACCTTAAGGCCTGGTTTGGTCTGGAGGAAGCAGTCTTCTAGGTACCATGGTCTCAAGTTGTTTGGAGTTTTAAATGTCAACACCAAAACTTGTTAGCTAATAGGCAGCTAGTGCAAGATGTTTCAACACTAGTGCACCTGCAACCCAAAATTGTATGTTTCACGGTGCTCCAAAGCAGCTTCATTTTGTGCTAGCTGCAGCTCCCAAATTAGGCACAAGGTTAGCCCCACATACAGTGCATTACAGTAATCTAGATTGTGTACAGCACATTACAGTGCTGTCTGCATGGACCACCGTGACAAGGCTGTGCTTGTCCAGTAACTGTTGTAGCCAAAGTTGATAATAAGTGCTCAAAGCAAGTGAGGTCAGTTGGGCATCTTGTGACAGTGATGGATCTAGGGGCACACCCAAACTGCATACCTGCTCCTTCAGAGGAGGTGCACAAGTGCAGGTGCACAGCCCAATTCCCACACCTGGGAATGAACCATCCATTGCTAAGATTCATTTGCAGTTTATTAGCCTTCATCCAACACATAACTGCATCCAGACACTGGTTTAGGATGTGCATGACCTCTAATTCAGATGTTGCGGAGAAACTGAGCTGGGTCCCATCAGCATACCAGTGTCTCTTTGTTCTAGATCTAATGATGGCCCCCAGTAGCTTCACACAGGTGTTAAATACCTGTGGCATTCCACAGACCAGCTTTCATGGGATTGGGGCACAGTCAACATTTCTATTATTTGGAACCAATCCTGTAAGTGGAAGTGAAATCACTGGAGGAAAGTGTCTCCAACCCACAGAGATCGAAGTTTTCAGAAAGAGGTCTTTCTGGAGATGCCAGGGATTGAACCTTGAATGTTCTGTAGTCATAGCACATGTTTTACCCTCTGTGTTGTGGACCTCTAAATTTGAGTTAGTTTTAATGCTCGTTACATAACCTAGCTATTGCCGCGGCTGGAACTGTTTAAGCAATATGATCTTGTCTGCCGTATTTACATTTGAGTATTTGCATTTAACTGTTTGATTTGGTGTGTATTTCCTGGTGTGTGAGAAGCTCATACAAAGAATGACTTGGGCTCTGTAAACAGACATAAATATACCAAGGCACCTTAAAAAATGTATGCTTCCATGCCTTCTACATGTAAAATAGCCTGGGGAACTAACATTAGATATCTGTATGAATAAAGAGTGCCACGTTGTTTTAGTTTAATGAAGAACCAATCAGTATTTCTCAAGTCACTTTCACCTCTGTCCTGCTTTAAACATTTACTTCCTCTCCTCCTCCCGACTCAGTGCCAACAAACTGCAAAAGAGAAGTTCGTAGTGACTTTCACATTTATATCTGTGCAGGGGTCAAAGGGATATTAAAGATTCTTTTAGTGCAGGTGCTCCCTTCCTCCCTTGTTTGCCATCTCCCTTCCCACGGCCTCTCTTGCACAATTGGCCTCCCTTTGCTGAGATCAGCACTTGGGTTGCAGAAAAGTCCCAGTGAAAAGAGGAAGGGCTCTGTTATCTTGGTGGCTTCTTTTCGGTAACTGGTGTCTCACTCTCAGGGTCGTGGGAAGAGAGACTGATGGGGTTGTAAGCGGCAACTGCAGTGAGAAAGTAAACTAGGGATGGGCATGAAAGGCACTGTGCAAGGTGGAAACGGAGGACGGTAGAGGCCAAGGCCACCAAGGTCTCATTTGAGTCATCTGCCTGCTGGGTAGCTATTGTTTACCACACAGATAGGCAGGTTTAGCTGGGAGAAGAGGAGAATAAAAAATACCTAGCATTGACCAGCACATTCCAAGAGCACTTCACATATGTCCATAGTTATCCTTGCAACAGCCCTGTTTGATCTGTATTAATGCCATGCTGCAGGAACTCTAGCCAGTGAATAAGCATAGCCAGAGGATTTAGAAATTACCTTCCCTCACTGTTTGAACACACACACCAAACACCAGACTGTTTTTTGCTGCAAATAGCAGCTTGAGGTTTTCAGCAGGAAAACATCACAGGGCGAAAGCTTCTTCATGTATTTTGTGCATAGGCTTTCCCCCTATAGACATATGGGTCTAATGTGGGGGTGTTGGGAGGAAGCCACCTGTTATCGGATGTGGGGCTTAACCACCCCTTTCTTTGTGTGGACCCCCTTCATGTGAGTTAACATATGAAGTGGTGAAGGAGTTGAGCACACACACAATTTCTATCTGGGTAAGGATTCCTCCACATAGCTGATGAAAGAAGATTGAGATTATATTCTATCAAGAGATTCAAAGAGATGGCTAGCATCCTATCTAACGTTGACACTTATCTTTCAGACACAACCAGTCTGTTGAATGTAACAGAATATTAGAGAAAAGAATATTTTCTCATGTTAGCAACCAAAGTAACACAAAGAAACTGGTTCCCCAATTGGATAACTTTTTGATCAAGTATTTTATACAAGTATTTTCCAGTTAAAATAAATTAGCTTGTTCATCCTATATATAGATCTATATAATCTATTGTCTATATATAATGTATTAAATTTGTGGCAGCGAAACCACTAACACTGATTGAGCTGGCTTGGCAGTTTGGAACATTTGGTTCCTTAAGGGAAATAAATAGTTCACAATTCAGTTTCTGTGCAGGAAGGGAAAATAATCAGTTTGAGTGTTAAATAGTTAAAACCTCATACAGGAAGCAGGCTGAGGACTTAAATAATCTAGAGCAAGTGTCACCAATATTTTTGGGCCCATTGGCAAATAGGAGAAACAGTTGTGTGCGCCACACACATAACAAGGAAACATACACTGCAACCCATCTGTTGGGTACAATATAATTCTTCTTCTTTCAGACCTACTTGCAGTGGGGTAGGAGAGCCTATAGGTAGCAGGGAAGGCTTCTGCAAGCACAATGTTGGCTACCCCTGATTTGGCCTTTGCCAACCTCCATGTGTTTTGGACCGCAACTTCCATCAGCCCCAGCCAGCTTGGCCAATGACTGGGGGTGATAGGAATTGCACTCTCAACATCTGGAAGGCACCAGGTTAAGGGAGGCTGATACAGAGGATGGAGGCTAAAATGGCCTAACATGAAGGCAAGGGAGTTGACTAATGAGATGTGTGAGGGAAAATGCAGGAACCTGCTTCCTTCTCCCTTCCAGAAATAAGTCTCCTGCAACAGTCAGCTGCTCTGTTACTACAGAGAAAACAGGACAAATAGTTTGGCCCACAGGAAGAAGGGCAACTGGAGACACATTTCTCCTCCCAACAATAAATTCTGTCTTTTCAAATGTATATGTGCATGCTACTCAGGACTGTGAGATGGAGCAGGATATACAATGGATATACAATGTAAGTGATTCCAGTTTATGGAATTCTTCAGCTGATAGTTTCTGATTGGCCTATAAATGATACCACACAGCAGACAAAATGGAATGAACCAGTTTAGACAGAAGCCCTTAGAGGTGTTCCTTGAGTGAAAGGGGCTCCACTTGAGTGAAGAATAATGGGGCCATCTGACTGACTGTGGTCCTGACACCACATCCATCCTCCTGGTTCTGCCTATCCCCAACTCCAGAACATTGAGCAAAGCTGCCAATGTAACAAGTGTGACAGTTTTGCAGTTGGGGTGTGGTTGGACCATATCGGCTTTCCTCCGCAAGCTGCACTGTAATGTCCTCACCTCCTGGGTGCGGCTCGTCAAAGAAATACCTATAATGGACAAGGACAACAGTTAACTTGCCATAGCAAATTATCTTGGCTTGTAAAAATATCCCATTTGTTTTGCTAGCTGTGGTGAGCAGTAATTAATTTCTGACCGTAAAATCTTTTTCTAAACATCATCATTTTGCTTCCTTTCTTCCCCCTTGCTCCCTTTTAGTTTATTTTAACACTGCTACTTTTGTTATCTGCCATATACAATCAATGTGGCTTACTTGTTAAAATGACCACAAATGCCTTGCAAAAGCTCATTCACGGTGTAAAGATCGTAACACTCTTATCATCAGGGAAGAGTTGCCTTAATCTGAAGAAAACCTTTAAAGTACCTGCCATGCCAGATTCTGGTACTGAGAGGCAAAAATAATTACGAATGATTAAAACTGACCACAAATGCCAAGTGAGAATTTCCTTTGCATTAAACTAGAGTTCTGTAACTTGCAGTGAGAGCTGTTCTGAAAGAGAGAGTAGAAGAGCATTTGACTTTCTAAACATAATTATTCTGTATTTTTAGAAAACAACATATTTCCTTTCAGACCGGGTGTTGTTAAAGTACTTTTTTAATGTCAGTTTTCTTTAGCTTCAGTCAAGTCTGCCAAAGTCCATGTTCTTGTTCTAGGCTTGGTAAATTGGCTGGGAAAGTTACATAGCCTTGTATTTCCGAGTTTGGGATCTGCTGGCTTGGGGAATTAATATTAAGAATAACAAATATGTATTGTGAATGAAATGCTTTTCATTTGTTTTCTCTACTATAATACCAAATGCACACAGGTGCTTCTCTAGTAAGCACATGTTCAGTGAGTATAAATTGATAAAATGAGACATGCAAATGGTATCTTCACCGAAAACTGTATAGTGAAAGTGACAGGTGTATCTCCATGGGGAGGGAATTCAACAACGTAGGCACTGCCACAGGGAATAGGCTCTCCCAGGCCGCTGCCACCCCTGAATTTCTGAGGGCAGCAGAAGTACCAAGAGATTGTCACACCGAAGAGAGCCCATAGGGAAGGAGGGGGATCTCTCATGTTTTTAGGGCCCAAGTTGGTTAGGCTTTTAAACACTAGCTTGTAACATAACAGGATATTAAAAGTAAATACAGCTTTAGATTTGCATGCTTTCTCCTTTTTCTCATGCCAGTGAAGGAGAAAAATTCAAATCATTCACTTCCCATTTTAAACAAGTCACAGTTCCCTGTGATATCCAGACTCCAGGAGCAAACCATGGCTTCAGATTCAGACTTGTTCTGAAAACATAATATTGCCCAACCATGGTTTTCTGTATTCAGACACGTGGAAACAATTGATCATTTAGAATGGAAGCAGAAGTTTCAGATCTCCTCTTCTTGTCCACCAGGGAAGAGTGGAATGTGTGTTACATCTAAACTGAACTTAGAGAATAAGCAGTCCATTTCACAAACTTCCTCTTTACCTGATATATCGTACTGCTGCTATCTTTCGGCATATCGGAGAGGTGGTATTGGTTTTCTCCTATGAAGGAGGATGCTAAGCCTCTTGAATCTATTCCACTTCTTTGACTGAGAGTTAAATCAATCAATTTATTTAATATATTTATATCCCACTCTTGACTGAAGGTCTATATATTATTACTATGTAGATTTTCATCCAGGCATATCTCAGTATCCTTTATCTTTTGCGAGCTGGGTTGTAGCACATGCCTTTTAGGTCTTAAAAGTCATCTTTATGAGCAGGAAACCTGAGGTAGAAAATATTGAATGTTTAACCAGAAGTAGGACCTCACCTATATTCCAATTGGTTCACAGCGGCCAGCGGCTAAGCCAACCAGTATTAATGGTGGTGGGCATTTGCAATGCTTCCCCAGGGTTTTGTGCTTCTTCCCAATAGAAATTAATGGTAGTCATTTATGTTTACGAGTTGGATAAAAGTATTGATGGACACCATGGGAACAGAGGATATAAAGGCCCTGGAAATCCCAGTTTTATCCCCTCCCAACTACAGTATGTCCCAAACCTCAGTCCCTTTACGCTGCTCCCATATAACTTGGAAGTAGGTACTGAGACTCGTCAGTCCTTGCTACAGATCTCAGGCCTTGGTTCTGTTGGTCACCCTGGGCTAGAAGGTGATGGGAATGTAGGAAACTTTTATAATGATACAGTTCCATTTGTAAACCATCTAATAATGGAATTGGAATCAATACAATTTATTTATTTTTTAAAAGAAGGAGCCTCTTTGTCATTGGGTTACAATCTAGCAAACACAGCACAAAGACTTTCTGTTCCGGGATATAGGCTTCTTGGTGGCCTGTCCCCCGCTTGGTGCAGGCGGACAACAGACACTTCCTTCCTCTTCCTTAAATAAAGATCCTCCTTCCCTAAATAAAAGTAGCCTTGTTTATCTTTGACTGCTCTCGGGAGACTTGTCTTTTTGCTGGCCAGAGGTTAGAACTTTGCTTTAGCAAGTACATTTGTGTCATAGCTAGCGGAACATCTTGTACTGCTATCTGACCCGTTTGCCTGAGGGAAGTATTGTTTGATGCCCTGCATACTAAGCAATTGTCCATAGGCTGTGCGGATTGCATCCGGAATGTTATCAGGATCAGAACACGAGTTGTCATTTGCGTGGACTAGAAAACAATTGGCAGCCCCTGGTATCAATTGAAGATTGATACCAAGAGCTCATAAGCAGAGGGTGAAAGACATACTGGGCCCAGAATCAAGTAGATCAAAATTGTCTGCACATTAACAGAGCCCCACATGGCAGCCCATATGACAGCTGCTATGATAGGATAAGGTCTTGGTTATCATACATAGCATTTTTTTTCCAAACTACCACAATCATTTTCAGAAGAGGGTGGAGCAGTGGCTGAAACCTGGAAAGGATGTGGTGTTTCCGCTTTGATCTGAGAGGGCCTGGTACAGAGACATAGATAAAGTTATCTTTCTATTAGTAAGTGAGAAGCATAGTAAATCAAGTTGTTGTAAGTAGTGTCCTCCTTTTAGTCCAGCAAAAAAGAAAGAAAGAAAGATGCTATACTTTTATTACTTTTACTACTCTCCTAATGTGATTGTCAAATAGTGATCCAGGAAACCCTCAATGAGAAGATATATGCAAGCTTCTCTGGAAGATGCCTGGCCCATGACTGCTGACCAATGTTCCCGGCGAGTGGAACTACAGTATAGACAGAAGTAGTGATGAGATTGCAATGCATCAGTGCCCAGCAGGTTCAAGAAGCACACAGCACACAAACACATGTCTGCACAAATATATCTTAATAGCTGCAGCCAGGTAAGTATTGTTACAGAAGGAAGTGTCGCCTTTGGGATGTGTACAGCTACTCTGCATCTCTTCATATATGGTTAATGCTTAAACAATAGAGCTCTGTGTTGGTTGGTTGAAATAATTAAATGTTTTCCTTTTTTTAATAATCAAAATGAAAACATAATTTACCTTACTTTAACAAAAACCTAACACGAGGAGCCATGAGTGTTTGTTAGCAATTGGTAAATTGTTCTAGATCAGGGGGAGGCAACCTAAGCGGCCCAAGGGGGGTCGTTTAACCAGCCCACGACCCACCCCTGAACCGAGCCGCCTGCTTGGCGAGTCCCTGCACACTGTACTAAACTGGCCCAGCGTGGGGACTCGCTTCTGCGGTGCCGGAAATCACGTCTGCACATGCTCAAATGCCGAAAATTGTGTCTGCGCAGATGTAGATGCCAGAAATCGTGTCTGTGCAGACGCCGGAAATTGCGGCCGCGCAATCCGGCCCATGGAGGGATCTCCGCTGGAGTGAACTGATCCAGGCAAGGTAAACCTTGCCAACCCCTGTGCTAGATGATCTTGTGTCTTGCGAATTAAGGTGCTGAGTACATAACGTTCTTTATACATTTGCTATCCAAACAGCCCCAAGGGATGATTTTTAGTCCCATTTTACAGATTTTAAAGATTTAGGGCAAGATCCAGTGTCATGCCAGTGGACTCATTGGGGCTTCACCTTCCACTCTGGAGCTCACTCTTCTCCCCATCTGCTCCCAAGGTGCACAAGGGTTGCAGGAGACAGAAGAGGAAGTGTAAGGAAGATAAAAGGAAGTCCTGTGTGCAAGCAGAATGCCACAATTGGATATCATCCTGTAGCTGCACACTTATACTGTCAAGGTCCCAGTTGACCTAGACCTGGGGTCAGCAACCTTTTTCAACCGTGCGCCGGTCCACTGTCCCTCAGACCATGTGGTGGGCCAGACTATTTTGGGGGGGGAGGGAACGAATTCGTATGCCTCACAAATAACCCAGAGATGCATTTTAAATAAAAGCACACATTCTCCTCATGTAAAAACACGCTGATTCCCGGACCGTCTGTGCGCCAGATTGAGAAGGCGATTGGGCCGCATCTGGCCCCTGGGCCTTAGGTTGTCTTCCCCTGACCTAGACTCTAGAGAGACCTCTTTAGATAAAGACTTGAGACAATTTTGAGAACTCCACTCAGATGGAAGACTAGAGGAACCCATAGTAGTCCAAAAGCAAAATGAGGAGCTCTTTGTCTCAGGGATTTCTTGCATGAGCCCCCTTCGACCCCATGCTCAAAGAATTTGGATATAAAAATACAAGGAAAATTGGGATTAGCAGGAGAAAGAGGAAGAGCCAATGGATTGTTTTCTGAGCATAGTTGGAGACTGGCATATTTAAATGTAGTAGCAAGAGGGTGAAGAGCAGGATAATTGTGGGGAAGGTGGCAATCAGTAGTAGAGAGATCAAGGGATCACTTGGTCATTGTGGAGTCAGGGACTACAGGTAGTCAACTCTTCAAGTGAGACAAGGAGTTAAGAGGGGAGAGAGGAAAAGAGCAAAGTATTTGGTTTTGATTTTATTACTGGAAATGGAAAATCTTGGGCAGAGGAAGGAAAGAAGGAAGGAAAGAAAGAAGGAAGGAAGGAAAGAAGGAAAGAGAAGGTACTTGGGCGAGCCAGAGCAGGGCATCACAGGTAGAAATGTGGTGATGCTGAGAGTTTCTGAGAGTGAGTGGGATGTACAAGTGTTCTTTTGCGAGGTAGATGGCAGTTGAGAAGCAATATATTGACAGCAATATGGTCAGCCAACTCATTCTTCTTCAAAGGCTTTCACCCACACCAATAGAAGGAGCACAGCAGGAGCTTCTTCTTCATTGGGAGAGTGGGGCCACAAAGTTAAGAACTGATTACAAGAGTGAATTGAAGGTGGCAACTGCAGAAGGTACTGAGCAGACAGAAGCAACAAAAGGAGAGAAGCGCGTAGAAAATGGCAAGGCAAATTCCCACAATTTTATTTCCTGTGATTCACCCAGAATGAAGTTGTTCTTGCATTTAGTTGAACCATAATGTTGCAGTTTCAGAAAGATCTGCTTTCCAACAACTGCAGCATTTCCTAGTGGTGATTTGGCATTCAGGATTTGGGAAAGGAAAGGGAGGGAGGGAGCCCATGACCTGTTCTCAATTCTCCCTAGCGGGCAGATGAAATATTGTTCTAGCAGCCCCCCCCCCCTTTCCAGATTTGAATTCTGTGCTCATACTTGCTGCATTGGATTCTCTCAGGAAGAAGGGAGTTGCATCTGTGAAATTATTTTTTGCTGAAAACAGTTGATTATGATAATGACAGCCCCAGTGTGAGATTCATTATTCAGCAGAGGCTTCCACACCTCAAAATCACAGAAGATGGGTTTCAGGTTTGTACAGTAACAAGCCTAGTAGAAGAAGAAATACTTTCTTCATGTACAAGTCAGGCAAAAGAAAAGCTTGCCTGCCAAGAGTACTTTGCATTCAGAGTCTCTCGGTACAAATTTGAATTTTCTTTATAGTGCAAGCAAGCAGTTGAATTGGTCTGTCACTCCTTTACTCCTCTTATTACTTTCTCACCAAACCCAAATATTTCAAGATACTGACTGAGTAGATAGATAGATCCTACCTGAAATGCAAGCCAATTCTACGTAATGATGAATTTTATGAGTAGAATTGTAGCAAAGAAAAAGCCTTTACTATTTATAGTAGTTTGCTCATTAATTCATGTTTCTCCTCTTCTGGATTTCTGGGTTCCTTTTGAGCTCATGGTGATAGAAGCACGTCCATAGCATTTTGCCTGATTAAACTGGAATTGTATTCTGTATAACTGCTTCGCATGAGAGAGGAAAAAATAGACCATCAACTTTACTGAATTTACTTTCCTTCTGAAGTTGAGGACGGGAGATCCTTTTTCCTGCTTTAAGGGGGAGAATGTCATTTTTGGGATTCCTTTTTCTAGTTTGTTCTGCGAAAACTGACATTCGTCAACATCCTAAACTTACGCTTGTCAGATAAAAGAATAGAAACACAAATAAACTCAACATCCTCTAGACATTCTAGAAAGATGAGGTATGCATACAATCCTTTCAACTCTGACCTTTGTAACTTTAATTGACATATTGGAAACTTCTGTGGGTTATTTTAAAAAAACCTAAGAGGTATTTGACTCTGGGGAAAAATTGCAAACATTAAGGCAACAATAGCTATATGCGCATACATAATAGGGCCTGCAAAATCAAAGGATAGCTTCTTTGATGATGATGATGACAACGGCGATGACTGTTTATCAAGCATTCAACACAGAACTTTCACATCACCTCATATATTTGCATACATTAGTTTGTGAGACTACCCTAAGATCGCCCTTGTTTCTCTAGACAGCACACTTGGAACAGTTGATGCAAAAGATCTATCTCGCATGAGTACACAGTTTGAGAGAGACAGAGAAAGAGTTACCGGGTATATAAAACGTTTAAAAATGCTTATATGAAGGTACGTCTATAGAAATAAAGGCTCTTTCACTGATCTGGCTTCCATCTCTGTCATCTTGTCTCACTGTGTGATTGCACAACAGTTTCCATCACGACAATCAGCACAATGATTTTGGGCTTCTCGAGTAAGAATGGGCACTCCCTTAAAACTAGAAACACTAAAATCTGTACGTGAGCTTTTAAAGACTTCCTTGACACTCCCTAAGAAACCTCAGTGAAATTTAGTTCTAAGGAATATGTAGCGCATGAGTTGCAGATCAGGAACTTATTTAAACCAGGATGAGAGTCTATTTTCTCATTACAAAGACTGAGTGATTAATTTATTATGATTTCCAGTGGAGTTAGCAGTATAGATTACCGAACCCTTTGAAACTTGTGATGGTTGAGAGTGAAAATTATACAAATTCTTGAACTTTATGTTTCCAGTTTTTCCGCGTTTGCATGTGTTTTAGGGAAACATGCTGTCGTGTGTGTGTGTGTGTGTGAGAGAGAGAGAGAGAGAGAGGAGCTGGTGCAAAAAATAGAAAAGGGGGACACCCCACATTCCACCCTGTCTAGCATGAGGCTAGCTTGGGATGTGGCAGTGACTCCACCACTTCTTTCAGTCCCACTGCTCAAAGCTAGAAGTTAGACTTGCTAATTCTAGGAACTCTATACAACAAAATATCTAAATACAAGTATTTGGGTATGTCTAGGTAACCTGTATCAATTAAAGAGAGTTTTCCTTCTGTTGAAGTGTCGTGTGATTCTGATCAGTGGTAAATAGAGGAGATAGTGGCTGTTTCAGACTACAGTCATACCCCGGGTTACAGACGCTTCGGGTTGCGTGTTTTCAGGTTGCGCACCATGCCAAACCTGGAAGTACCGGAACAGGTTACTTCCGGGTTTTGGCGCATGCGCAGAAGCACCAAATCGCAACCCGCGCATGCACAGATGCGGCGCTGCAGGTTGCGAACGTGCCTCCCGCACAGATCACGTTCGCAACCCAGGCATCCCCTGTACTCTGATATATCTGAAGAAGTGTGCATGCACACGAAAGCTCATACCAAAAACAAACTTAGTTGGTTTCTAAGGTGCTACTGGAAGGAATTTTTTTATTTTGTTTCGACTATGGCAGACCAACACGGCTACCTACCTGTAATTAGAACTCTGATATAAAAGGCTCTGATCTTACATGCATGCCCCTACTAGTGTAGAACAGCAATAAAGTAACTCCTTTTAACCGTTATAAGGGCAAAGGAGGAGTTGAAAATGTGATAAGAGAAGCTTGCTGGACAATTTTAAGTGGCTCTTCTTAGGAAGCAAATGTGCAAACATCTTTTACTTGGTTTAGGCTTTAGTGCAGTGGGGTATTTTGATCCAATCTGTACCCATTCATTTCTTACCAAATTAAGACAGTGCACAACTGAATACAAACAGGACCATTTCTGCCAACACTGTTGCCGTGGTTACCATTAGTGAGTGATACTGCCTTGCCACACATTCTGATGCAAGGCTGTCACAAACACCCTGGAATTTTGAGTTTGGTGAGACCAGATTTTTTTACATTGTTTTGACTTTTTTCCAGTCAATAAATTGTCCAGCTCTTACCTCAGCATCCATTTTTTTGATCAATACTGTCAGGAATTCATGCAAATGGCTCGAGGACTAAGCTTTGGGAACACTTCTTGAAGACCTAGTGGTGTATCACCTAGATTTTTGGCTTACTACAGCGCTATGTAGCACTCTGCTGAACATTTTTGGACAAGCTAGGAATGCTGAATAGTCCATTCAGTTAGAAGGATCTGGTAAACCCCAACTGCAGCTAGGGAGGGAAATGCAAAAGGCAAATTAAATATTAGTAAGAAGTAGGTAAGCTTTATTGTACTAGCCAAAGGCCATGACGAAACCATAGAAACACTATCAGAAAAAGAAATATCTATACATCTATATATCTGTATAAAAAAACAGAACCTCTGCCTAAACCATCGGAATCATAAAATACAGGTGCATGCTTAAATTGGGGGTCTCCACACAGCATACAGTATTTTCCTATTTAGACCCCTGAATTGCTAAGAAGTGTGCATTTAAGTAGAGTTGTTGAAGATGTAAATGTTTCGAATAGTGCTGTCGGGCATGGAGAGCCCTCCTCTTCCTTCGGTAACGATAAGAATTAACACACAGTTGATATAGTCCTTTTATTACAGCATCATGCTGCAAGCACAAATACACAGCTCTCCACAAGGAGGGCAGTTGGCTACTCTAAATCCTCCTTCCGACTTCCACAGCATTTTAGGCACCAACGGGAAGTTCCTCCCTCCCTCTGACTCCTTTGCTCTCTGATATGTACGTTTGGACCTCCGAGTTCGTGGAGAGGGGGGGTCCCCTAAACTCTCAAGTGACGTCTCAACTAGCTGCCCCCTCCCTTCTGGCTCCCTTGTTATTATCTTGTAATTGGATAACTCCTCCCTAAGCTGTTCAGCTTCTGTGTCTCTCTCTGTGACTCTTCCCCCTCCAGCTCTCCATCAGAGAGAAGCTGGTCTGCCATAGAATGCGTTCCCCAGTCCTTGTCTTCAGACCATTCCCTGACAAGTGCAAATGACTGTGCTGTGAACTGACTTAGTTTAAATCACATTCAACTAACTGCTTTTTCTCACCTCTCTCTTTCAGTAATAGTTATGCCCGTGTGCGAGCTGTGGTGATGACCCGTGATGACTCAAGCGGTGGATGGTTACCACTTGGAGGGGGTGGTCTAAGCTATGTCACCGTTTTCAAAGTCATTCACCAGGAAGAAAATGGCTGTGCTGATTTTCTTATACATGGGGAGCGTCTCAGGGATAAAACGGTAAAGACAACTATTTCTTTCTTGTGCCATTATGAACATTCATATTTCTGTGTATCTTTCTAATCCTGACAATATGGGAGTAAGGTACTTTTATGATAATAGTTTCATTTTGTTATTTGATTAAAAAAAACAAAAACAAGCAAATGTCTGAGACAGAGGAGAGTGTTTATTTTAATTTTTAAAAATTGCCTCTCGTTTCATAACCCAAATAATATTTCACACTAGGCTATAAAAATCACAGTAAAACTGTTAAACAAACAATAAGAATAGGAATGTAGTCTAGAATATTGTTACACCAAGTTCTATTTTTAAAGCTAGACCACTTCAAACTGAGCTTCAGCCATTTTGGAAAACTTAAAACTAATCACTTTTAAGAACAATAAATGGTGGGATAGAATGCATAAATATGACATTAATTTTATGTGGAAACAGAGTTTTATTTATTTATAAATATATTTATATTCCACTCATAGCAGTATATGATAGTAGTTTACAACAATGCAAAACTTTAAAACCATACAGTAAAATCGTAAACAATTAAAAACAAGTTAAAAGCAAAAGTTTGTTCCAGAACTGAAGAAGCATTGGAAAGGTGCCGGAACTTTTTGCCAATTCCACTTTCCCATTGCAGCACCCTGCAATCCAAATCTGTTCCCGATAGTTCAGGGACCTTTCTGTGCAACATGGAAGGTGGTGCAGAGGCTGCAGGGAAACTGCCCAAAATTGCCTTCCTTTTTCTTACATCAGTGGATGCCTCATTTGGTTCAGAAGTGCTTCTGCAAACAGGACAACTTTGTGTTTTATCCAGAATTGCTTATGCGTGTTTGATACAACTACCCACAGAATCGCTGGAAACCAGGAGCCCTTTAAGTGTTATCTGGAACCTAAATGAAGTCACTTCCAAGATTGGCTCCCTCAAAGCTGGGATTATATATGCAGGACCCTTCCACAAGGTCAGAAGCCAGCCACATAAGTTCAAGCCATTCAATCAGCATCCCCACTCTAAAATATCTACATAGCCAGTCCCTGCCCCTGCGGTTTGGTCCCTTAAATGTTAACGCCCGCCTTGCAGGAGCCACTTCCATAAAGGCTGCTCTCCACCCAGCAGACCACTACCCAGCACAAGGCAATCCAAAGAAATAAATATTTATTTGGGGGGTATATTTATTGGGGGGTATTGCTTTTATTATTATGCATTTTGTGTTTTTTATCTTGTATTTTTATGTTGTGAATAGCCCTGAGATCTACAGTTGAAGGGCAGTACACAAATTCAATAAATAATAAATAATTTGTGCCCTAAATAATGTTTCCACCATTTAAACGAATCATAAGGCTTCCTTTTAATATGCGTTGCTATCCTGTGAGACCATTTCCTGTGTTCATGCTACCAGCTGAGCTGCTGATATGTGATGTAAATCTTTTCATGAATGTGGTTTTGGTCGGGTTTTATTTGTAGTGCTGAAAATTATTCTTAGATTTTTGAATGAGTATCTTCAGAGATGACATGTCCAATGACATGAAGCAACGTGTTCCAGATAGATTTCTGTTTTTTTGTGGCAGACCTTAGCGTGGGGACAGAAATAACTGGTTAGTACAGGCGAAACAGTGGTATTGGCTAGAATATGAGACTGGGGGCAGGGGCGTGTTAAGCATATTATCAGATGCTGTGGGGTGATAGTCAAGGATATACCATATTCACTTGAGTCTAATGTGCCATCGAATCTAATGCGCACCTCAATTTTCAGAACCTTGAAACCAAAAAAGTATTTGCTGGCAAATTGAATCTAATGTGCACCTTAATTTTCGCAACGTTATTTGGCCAAAAAAGGTGATATTAGTTTCGAGTAAATATGGTAGTACCCTCTAAAGAGAAACTTCTTTTTCCCCTTGAAAGTGTTGGCTGATTGCTTATTATCCTCTTTTAAAGGGGCACCACTCCTTTCTACCCTGCATCTTGATTTGTCATCCTATATAGATGCTGACACCCATATGCTGAGCAAATAAATTCCTATTGCCATTTCACAATAGCCCTAGGTAGTAACACGAAGTTATTTATTGTCTGAAAAAGCAAGCAAATCCTTTCCCCACTTCTTTCTTTCTCTCTGCCAGCAGCTTTTCTTACTTGCATCGGCCACAAAATTTGACCTGTATCTCCAGCCAGATTTGTTTCAGAGCTCCTCTGTGACTTTTCAATGTGGCTCTCAATTTAAGACTGAATTTGGCCTGTTTAAAATGTTTCTCTTTTTTGCCCCCATTTGTAGTAATGTGCAGTCTAAAAGAAGCTGCAAGTTCTTTTCTTTTTCAACCGCCCATCCGGCATGGATTAAGCCTGCCCAAATTATAGACAAATACATCCAGAAGTACTTGTGCAGGGTACCTTTAAAGTTTGATGTTTTAAACAAAAGAAAGTCTATAACCTTTTGATTTTCTTTGAGAATTGTATGCAATTTGCTGGCTTGGTCACCCCTTCTGATGGGATGAAACCTGCCAAATTTCTGAACGACAGCTGCAGTACAAGAAGAATCAGGAGGGAGGGGGCACCAGAAACCCCCAGGAAATACGAGGATAGGGTTAAAGTTGTCTCCCAGCAGCGACCCTTTAACCCCAAGGGTCATTCGTGGAGAATTTACCCACCCCACTGGATTTTGGAGTTACAAGGGAGATCTCTGCATTGACTTACATATGGGAAGATATAACCCCCCCCCCCCAAAGCAATGTGATTGGAGTTCTCTGGGGAAATAATTCACTGTGATTACAAAGCTAGAACTCTCCATCAAAATGAAAGATTTCCCCCTGACAACCCCCCCCCCCAAAAATCTTGGTTTCACTTCTCCAAAATGTGTTTTTTGAACATCCAAGACCACAGAGCTACTCAGAAGCTTAGGAGTCCCTGCTCTGACTCATGACATCATGGAGTGCCGTCCAACTTGGAAACATGAGAGAACCTTCCCTGAATCATCCCAATCTGTCTTGTAATTTTGGGCACACGCAGAACGAATGCGCTCCCTAACGTGAACAGTTGAAAGTGGGAAGAACTGGGAAGAGAAGCTTCTACTGTATCTGAGAAGAGCTGTGGCAATGATTTAGTAGCTCTTACCCATGAGGCCAAGTTTGTTTCTGCTGCTGCTGTTTAGGCTGAGCATTTGACAATGGCATAGACACTTGTTGATGGTGGTGGGGGCTAGGCAAGCATTGTGCAAGACCTACAGGTGATTCTGTCTCTGCCGACTGACGCAGGAGGGCAGCAGAAACAGCATGGGAACTTCAGAAACTTTGTTTTCACTGATCCTAGGAAATAATATATAGTATAAGAGTTCCCATTAAAACAAGTTTCAGAACCAACGTTTAACTCAAACTATCAGGCTTGTTGCCTGGTCAGTTCATTTTCTTCCCTGCATGGTTGCTCCTTTCCCAGTTAATGTGTTAATGCGCAAAATCATAAGGAAATGTGGCAGCTGGGACTGGGTGCCAGAGGAAATCGAGAATAGCACTGAAAGGTATGGAGCAAATGGCAACAGGAAGGAGTGACACATGGGCTCAGCTGGCCAACTGGAGAGATGTTGTATTTGTTATCTCTTGCATTTCCGCCCTTTGTACCTGCCATAAACCACCCATTAAGGTTTAGATCAGGCATGGCCAAACTTGGCCCTCCAGCTGTTTTGGGACTACAATTCCCATCATCCCCGGCCACTGGTCCTGTTAGCTAGGGATGATGGGAGTTGTAGTCCCAAAACAGCTGGAGGGCCAAGTTTGGCCATGCCTGGTTTAGATGAAAAACTAAATTCGTGTCATCTGCTGCAGCGCTATCCACGCTGCCCTGAGTAGTCAAGTCATGCAGTATGGGTGGATCACACACACTCTTGGTTTATTTAAAGTAGCTTTTGTTAACCTGGTTCCCCTCTGCATGTTTTGGGAGTTGTAACCCAGAACATACAGGGGGCATCAGATTCGCAAAGCTTGGTTTAGAACATATCAGTCCCTCTTTTCAACAACCAAGAGTGAACATAGGAAGCTTAGTATTGTCCATACTGACTGGCTTTCTAGGATTTCAGCCAGTAAACCTAGATTGAACCTGGGACTTTTTGCATGCAAATCTTAAGCTCCACCATTAAGCCAGGGTCCTTCCCACTCAGATATGCTTGCAAAAGTTTTGATTTAAATTAATATTTTGTATGCTGATATTCCAGCAACAAAGTTCACCTCAAAGCAACCCACAGCGATAGCAAAGCATCGGAAAACAACACAAATTACACTTCTAACAATTTGAGCATATAATTACAGTTTAAAATAAAAACCCAAGCCATAGTAAAGTAAAACCAAAAAACTCATCTAACAGTTAATGCAGTTCAATACAAACCAATAATAAGTCAAAATACGTTTAAAACAAATAAGAACGCGTGACAGTAGCAGAGCAGCAGCCTAAGAAACATTTTGAAAGTATCAACCTGCTCATGGTCAGTGCTGAGTTTCTGAGACTTTCCTTATAGTCCCTTTGCCAACCAAAGTGCCGAGAGAAGGGACGAGAGAGAAGAGCCTTTGCAGTACTGGCATCTGAACTATGGAATAACCTTGCAGGACAGATTCACCAAACCCGCTTTAAGCTTGCTCTTAAGAACCTGTTTTATTCTGTTGGACGTTTTTTCCAATGAATTGTTTGATGTGTTTTTTAGCCTGCTGCTGTTACTGTGTGTTTTTTTATCATGGTGATTTAAAGTGCTAGTTGGTTTCTTAAATGTGCTTATTTTTTAAAAAAGTTAAAATTTAATATATATAATTACATTTACATATATATGTATATAACTATATATATGTATATAACATACATATACATACAGATTTTATACACACACACATACACATACATATATAAAATAAACTGCCATGAGTTTAATTTTATCATGGAATAGTGGGATGTAAGTGGTGTAAAACAGAGCTAACATCACACAAGTTAAAACTTATTCTTAAAATAAAATAGAACAATAGGAATGCTTCCAGGAATGGCTGTTTCATTCGTCAGCCCCTTCCTGTACGTGAAGTGATACCACCAGGCAGCACGACAGCTAGGATGTCATGACTCTGACTGACTGGAGATTTCTCAAGCTTCCCTTCCTATGCCATACCATTTGATGAGGTGATTAAGGGTGGGTGGTTAGAAAGGGAAAGCAAGTCTTCATGATTGAGCAAATTCCTGGAAAATTGAGTAAAAATTCCAAGTAACCTTTGAGCAGTTGGAATTCCCTTGTTGGAAAATGAACCAAACGTCTTAAATTCATATCCCATTAGGTCAAATTAATGGATAAAGCATAATTTTACCACTCTTCAAACATTACTTACAATCAAATTTCATAATGGCAATGTATTGTAGTTCATATCTGAAATGATCCAGTAGCTGATGAACTTTGCTAAGGAAATAACTTCATTAGTTCTTTTTAGACAACAGTTCCTCTCAGAATCTTCCTCAACAGTACTGACTCACGGTACTTTCTGTTCCTCAGACCATCCATTCTCCTTTATCAGGCTTTTGTTTTGTTTTAAGATCTCTTTGACCTGACACCAGCAATTCTAAAATAGGGCTGACTTCTGTAACCGCACTTCCTCTATCACACCAAGGCTTCAGGCAGTGAGAAATGAATTGGCTAGAACTCCAGTGGTTCAAGGTAAACTAAATAGAAAGCAATGGCCCAAAACCTCTCTTCGTTTTGTTTTACAAAAGGAGCAATGAGACGAATTACTTTCAGAGAAAATAGATAGCAGGATACACACTAGATGATAGATAGATAGATAGATAGATAGATAGATAGATAGATAAAATCATGAGCTGGTTCTTGCAAGTGATAAAATGAGCAAGCTTTTAAGAAAACACATTGGGGAGTGATTCTACTTGCTAAGCTTTCAGACATATTTGGCTTTGCATTATGAAGAATGCCTTTGCCATTGTGATTGCTCGAAAACATAAAAAATATAGCTATAGCTGAAAATGTGTGTGATCTTTGGCACAAAAAAGCATTTGCATTAGACCCAGGAAGGAGTTTTAATCGGAATTCAGGCAAAAGGTTTGCTTGCTCAGCCTAGATATGATGTGGTGTTATGATACACAGTAAAATCACTGTATTTTAGTTGAAGATAACTTGTGGCAAAAGACAGGGTACAGCTTCATGAATAAGAATGTTAGCTTGATATGTTATTGACAAAGAGCCTGTCAGGTACCTTGAAAAGTGATAGCACCCAGGATATGGATTTCACTTTGGAGTGACAGAGACTATTTCTGGACTTGTTTACCCAGCTTGTTTAGATCTCTGTTGGAATGTGAAGGGTTTTCTTCTTCTTTCTTTTCACAAAGCACCCCTGACATAATTGCACACTTCCTCCTTTATTATACTTCCCTTCCGAGATCTGGCTCCAGCCAGTCTAGTTGGAACAATTACCTTCCACTCTAACCTGGACAGGTTTGCTGCTCTTTTAAGCTATGTAAACATCAATGGAGAGTTTCTTTTATATGCAGAATTAAACATACATCCAGGCTTCAGTATTTTAGATTTTCAAATGCCACAGACTTGATGATATTTATTTTTCCTTTCCGGTTTAATAATGAGACATTTATTCTGTAACGTGTTACGCATCTTATTGTCTGGTATCCTTGCTTAACCGCAGCAAGACAAATGAATTCAAAGAGGAAGGCATGGGAAGAGCTTCACCATTCATGACTTTCTGAACAAAGAGAAATTGTGCACACCCTTTCTTTTACATGGTGTTCTCCTTCCAAAGTGGATCCTTTCACAGCATTTGGAGACTTAGCAAGATTAGAGTAGTCAGATGAGAGAGGTGGGCATGGATGTGGTGTTTTGCTTGAGTATTGGAGACACTGGTTCAAATCCCCATTCAACCATGAAGTTCACTGGATGACCTTTAGCCAGGTATTACACATACGTCAGCCTAACCTTTTTTACAGGGTGAGGATATAGTGCGGGGAGCCATGTAGGTCACCTTGAACCCATTGGAGGAAAGGCAAGATGTGATTGAATGAAATTGAATAGGAAGACTGAAGGAGAAGGGAGACCGGGTACAGTCAATAACCCCTTGGCCAGTTCTTCACTAATTCCTGATTCAGGATGTTGTCTACACAGTTCAAGAATACAGTGGTACCTCTGGTTACATACGCTTCAGGTTACAGACACTTCAGGTTACAGACGCCGCTAACCCAGAAATATTACCTTGGGTTAAGAACTTTGCTTCAGGATGAGAACAGAAATTGTGCGGCGGCAGCGGGAGGCCCCATTAGCTAAAGTGGTGCTTCAGGTTAAGAACAGTTTCAGGTTAAGAACGGACCTCCGGAACAAATTAAGTACTTAACCTGAGGTACCACTGTATTGTCCTAAGTTTTAGAAGATCTGGGCAGTGTTTGGAGCCAATGTAAAGGGGAAATCAGCTTGTGAGAAGCCAGTCAGAGTGGAAGAGAAAAGTGGCCATGTTGCTGTCTTCAAATTCCCTTCGCCATAATTCGTCTTCTTTTAATAAAAGGCAGCCTGGGTTTGCTACATGTGTTCTGCATGTAATTAACTGTTACCTCCCTTTGTAACATTATAAAAGATCTCCTCTGATTCACCCAAACAAACTGAAGTATGTGTGTGCGTACATATCTACACTGGAATAAACTGCACAAAAGCATCTGTGGGCTCATCAAGACTGTCATATTTGTGTGTATCTGAAGAAGTGTGCGTGCACAAGGAAGCTCATAACAATAACAAATCTAGTTGGTCTCTAAGGTGCTACTGGAAGGAATTTTTTAATTATATTTGTTTTGGGATAAGAATCCTGGGCAATGGCATGAAGTTCTAAATTTAGTAGATTCATAGGGTTCTGTTCATACATTTAGTTGCTTTTACCTACTTGTTTTAAGTTTACAAGCTGGCCTGGTTCATACATAATGTTAAAACTGTTGTTGTTGATTTATAAACCTTGATCAACTCGAACCATATCTTGGCATTATGTGTGAACTCCGGCCTCCTCCTTAACTATAGTTAAGGAGCTGTCACAACAAAAAAGTGTAGCCATGAGTGTAAGAGCAGCAAAAATCAAAATCAAACCACTCTCAAGATTTGACTGCTCTTGTTGGTGCTTTTAACTATCTTGTGGTGTAATAAACCGAAGTGATCATCTGCCAGGTGCCTTGGCTTCAACTGTGGTTTATTAACTACGGTGAACGTTAATCATGGTTTAGCATTATATGCCAACCATGCCACTGTGTACTTACAAAAAAATGCATTGGTATTGCTGTATTATAGCCTGGAATCGGGAACAGCCAGTAACTAAGGCAAAAACTAAATTTCTTTCAAGTAGGTTATATATAAATGGTTTTTCACGAACTTGTCTGCTTTGGGGAGGAGCTAATTGGTCCATGACATGATTCATTTGAGAGTAGACTTTATTTTTAAACCTTGTTGTGTACAGAAGTCCCTTATGCTAAGTTTTTCCTTTAACTCTGCTTTTCAGGTGGTTTTGGAGTGTACGTTGAAGAAGGACCTTATTTACAATAAGGTTACGCCAACTTTTCACCACTGGAAAATAGATGACAAAAAATTTGGCCTGACATTTCAGAGTCCTGCTGATGCAAGAGCATTTGATAGAGGCATTCGTAGGGCGGTAGAAGATCTTTCCCAAGGTATGAATCTCTGTTGCATAAGCATTTAAAAATATATAGTAATAATTTTAAAATAATTTTAAAACAATTATAATAGTACCCACGATGTAATACTATATGTGTTAATAAAACTCTGCCGGTCGCCTTTTTGACTGGTTATCTACAGGCAGTTGTTTCTCTTTTCCCAGTCTGGACGGCCCCATTAATATTCAAAATAAACATGAAGAGCAGAAGCATAACTTTTGTACATTTAGGTACAGTGTTAATGTACATTCATTAATGTTAAAAGGCAAGCACCTGTTTTAGCCTTGAGCAAGAGAGCAACATGCAGCTCCCACAGAGCTGGTCTATGTGGCTGAGGAGTAATGAGCAATGGTTACAGCAGAGATAGAACACGATGGTGCAGGTCAGCCATGGTAATAATCCCTGCTTACCCAGGGAAGAGGCAAATCACAAATTTGTGTTTAATATTTTTAAAGCCATATACAAAGCTACCAAAGAGAGTCAACATCCTTTCATTGAAGGACCTTCTCTACCTTTTATAGAGCATTGGCCACTTATCTAATTGTTTGGATTTCACTTGTATAATGTTAACTAACCTTCTTCCTTGGCCCTTTGTCAGCTTCTATGATGCTTTGCTGTGAGCTGCAATTTTGAATAGTTTCCAGAGGATTATTTACTTGCAAATGTGTTTAGTTCATATTATGCCAAGTGAAGTGAGGCCTTCAGGTTCAGCAGCGTGTGTCTTTTGTTTTTGAGTCTGTATGTGTTTACTGTTTTGTAACATACTAGCTTTCTTGAATGTTGAAATATCAGAATGAAGTGTGTTGTGCACATTCAGGACACCATTCTGTATTTAAAGTTCAAACCCCTGTCTGATCCCACACCAGTTTTCATAAGGCTTAGGAAAGGCATTAAACACACTGCAGTGTAATGCCTCTCTTGAGCACTGAATTATCAGAATGAAATTTGATACATGTTGATGACATAATTCTCTGTTTGCTTGAACTTGACATTGGTAGTGTACATGCCTTGAATGTAGAAGGTCCCAGGTTCAAACCCTGTCATCTCCCATATAACAAAATTTAGTTGATGGGAAAGATCTCTGCCTGGATTCCCAAAGAGCCCCTATCACTCAGAATAGCTATCTCAGAAAAAATTGAGAGTCCAGCTAGGGGAACATAGGAAGCTGCCTCATACTAAGTCCTCAACTCTCACATCTGAAAGAAACTTGAGATTTTTATGTTTGTCTTATTCTTCCATAGGTTGTCTGACATCACATGATGAAATTGAAGTACCTGTAGATGGCTTTCCAGTAAGTGCTTTAAACTTCCATTATGTTAATTGTATCGGAAGAGATGACAGGAGTTTTCAGTGCTGAAAGTGGTCTTACTTGTATTCGTTAAAACTTTTTGAACTTTAAATCTGCAGAAGGATAACCACGTGAACCGTCTTGCCTTGTAACTATAGAGGTTAGGCTGGGTGACTTTTCATTGTCATATTTAATTCTCAAAGATATAAGCTATTGCATCGTTTGAGAGACATTTCTTTCTTTTTTTACCCTGTATTAATGAAAGAGTGAGTGGATATAACTAAGGCAAAGGGGTGCTAAAGTGCCTGAAGCTTAATTTGAATTAAGGCTGAGCTCTAGAAGAAAAATGTTCATTGCCAAAACTGATACTTGTGAAGGTTGTAGTATTATAAAAATGTCCTCTGATTGCATGTGGATTAAAGGGTTTAATGTCAGGCAGGCCTCATCAGGATTTAAACCTGTAACCCACTTTCAATGTTGAAGTTCAGTCACACAACATGAGAAGCAACAGCAAGATCATTAGTACTTCAATGTTCTTCCCAAGGCTCCTGTAGACAAGCAATACACAGTGACTACAAAAAATCCATGGGTGAAATCCAGTGGACGTATGGGGAGTCAAGGGTTAGAGTTTATGGATTTCATTCACATGAGCTGGAAACTCTTGTTCTAGTTTGGATTATCAGACAGGCTTCACTTTAACTAAGGTAGTGAATTGAAAGCTTTTCAGCCATGGTCTTAGTGTGTGGTGGTAGTCTATCGCTTTTAAAAGTGATATACAGTGGTACCTCAGATTAAGAACTTGATTCGTTCTGGAGGTAAATTCTTAACCTGGAATGTATCTAAATAAGGATTATATTACTTTCTCATTGCAGTGTTGGAAAACCCAAAAGTTGTGATGTGTTTTCAGTTGTTGTTTTTTTTTTTGTTTTTAGTCAAAGATTATTGCACACAAGTAGATCACTGTTTTGTAAGTGTGTGACTTAATTACCATATATTAAGATGAGTTACAAGCCTGGAAATGGGAAAAATTGCCAGTCTTTGCTTTTAAAAGCATATCATTACTTGGCAACACATGTGGGTCTTTCAGGCAGTATCTGTGTCATCCTTATAGGCAGCAGGCTGCATCATCAAGATTATCACACATTCTCATATATTTTATCTGAGAATAAACTATACCGTTCCTTCTGTAATCAAATGGGGTGTGCTTCATCTGTTTAACAACATTCACAAATGTTGATAAGCAAAGATGAAAAGGTGTAGGGTGGGTGGCCATAGTTTGCCCAAAGTAGCCTCATAGGCCAAATGCGTAAGCCTGGTGGGCCAAGACTGGGCCACAGACTGGGGGTGCCAATCCTAGAGATAGAACAACATCACTTCAGAAGGTGAACGTCTCTTGCCTTGCCTCAGGGAGCAGGAAAACCCCCCATTAAAGGTTGAAAAATGGACACAAAATGTCAAGTTGTGGTGGGGTTTTTTGCATAATTAAAAACAAACACCACAGACATGATGTCCGTATGAGAAATGTGAATATCCTGGAAGAAAGTTTCAGAAAAACAGCAACTGAAATACTGGTGTCAGTTGGCAACTTCATTAATGTTGAGCTTCAGAATGAGAAATTGGGGGGGGGGTGGGTTAATGGTTGGCCCAGTGACGCAATATGATATCCATTATTCTAAAAAAAATATGGGGACTTTGGTGACATTTGTCTTTCATGCAACTGATGATAATGACGCGTTGAAAAGAAACAGATCATTAGGGTGTTGCCACAGCTAAATGTAAAGCCCTGTGGTCATTACAGTTCCCACACGGGCTTGATGCTGACCTGCAACTTGTGAATGCATAGTGAAGTGTCATGGGCCCAGGGCCTTGCTTAAGAGGCATTTATTTATGGATGTCTATCAATGAATTGTTACATGTTACATTGGTCACTGGTCCTTTGCCTGAAAACAATTTTTCCATAGTTTCCAATAAACATTACCGTAAGTTTTCACACTTGCCCATGAAACGTTAGCTCCTTATGTATTTTGCCTCAGGTGAGATTCCCCGCCAGTGGCGTAGCGTGGGGGGTGCAGGGGGGCCGGCCACACCGGGCGCAACATCTGGGGGGGCGCTCACACTCGCAGCTCTCTGCCCCTACTAAAATCCACGGGTTAGGGGGCGCAAATTACTTGCCTTGCCCCGGGTGCTGACAACCCACGCTACGCCACTGTTCCCCGCCCCCTACTTTTAGAGAAAACAATTGTCCAGGTTCTTGAGATTACAAAACTGTTTTGTTGGTCACATTATTTTAAAACACCACAAAAATAGAGCATTTAAACTACTTGTGGCATACTTCTTTATTATTTTTGTAGGGAAGATCAAGCCAGTTAACTCACAAATAGTTTAGTGTTATTTGGAGTTCAAATAATATTAGCTAAAACAGAAAATACTCTGTAAAGAATCTTACAATTTTTATGTTGGTCACTGCGGAATTACCCAGCTGGTTTTATTTAATAATTTATATGTAATGTGTTTGGGAAGGGAAGTAAGAGTCCTGACATTAGCAGACAATCCTAATTTGGGAGGCATTATTAATACAGAATAAGGATGAGGAAGTTCCACAGGAAGAACTGGGTGACCTCAAGAACTGCAGTAATGGAAATGGAATGAAACTGAGTTCTGCCAAGTAGAAGGCTGTGAACTTGGAGTGATAAGAGACGTTTTTGTTTTCGGCCGGGGGCTCAGCAACAGGGGAAAGAGCTTGGGATCTTGGTTGATCACAAAATGACTGTTTCATTGATGCCGTGTTGTTACAGTATTGCTAAGAAGATAGAATCAATGTTTGCATTGATTTTGGCAAGGAATTATTACTACATCTGTAAAATGCTCTGAAGGGACCCCGTTTGGAATGCTCGTGCATTGCTCGAAAAAAATTAATTTAGATTGCAACAAATGCAGGGGGGGGGAACAACCAGTAGGATTCTGGGAAATGTGGACCTATGTGGAGAGCACAGAGCAAGAGAATGTTGCTTTGGCTTAGCTTTTAGAAGGGTGAGTTCATGCTATGCAGAACTTAAGAAGAACATCGTCCAGTGGGGGAAATAAAAATTAACGGTTACCGATTGTCTGCTAATTTAGACTGGAGCTTTCTAATGGATAAAAATCTGATTCTAGTGCAAGATTCAGAAACCATCTCCCTGGAAAATTTGAGAGTAAAAATCAATGCTTTTTCCCAAGAATGCTGAGATTTCTGCAGAACATTTTATCATAAAAAAAACCCCCAGACGTTCTGTAATTTGTTAAAAATATGTTAATGCCCAGGGCAAAGAAAATCCTGTGTCTTGGATTCACTTCTAAATATTTAGCTTAACTGAACTGATTAGGAATTTCCAACCAAAAGTAGCAGGATTAATCAGGAACTCTTAATCTCTTTATCCGATAATAAAGTCAAGGCAGTTTGGCAACGTGTTTTGGTGGTTTTTTTTAACAAAAATTATGTTCTGTAACTGCAAATTTAAATTTCTAGTTCCAGTGTCTGAAGGATGTTCTGGGTTGGATGAGGGTAAACAAGCTGAAGCTTAATCAAGATAAAACAGATGTGCAGTGGGTGGTAGACACGTTAAAAGGAAAAAAAGGAGGAGTGTATTGAAGCATTGGCTAGAAGGGGGAAATGTTTCTTTGCCTATATGACATCAGAACTAAGAAAAGTGGCTGTCGTTAGCCCAAAGTGCCAAGGCAGGCCAATCTCAGAGGTCTGCCAGACCTAATTTAGGCCCGCAAACTGGAGATTCTCCACCCCTGGTTTAAAGCTTTAAAGCTTTTCATCAGCACTTAGGATTGAGCCTAGATATGCACTGACAACTGTGTGCACTCATGAAGTTTCAGTGTGATCCAGGAGTGCCAACTTGGCCCCGGAACCATGGGTGCTTGGGGCCATGGATGCCATAAAGCATGCACCTAAATTTGTGGGTGCCCGGCCCCTTCATGGGGAATTTTATGGGTGCTCAGGGCCCCAGGGATTTGGCACCTGTGGTGTGATCTGATAAGATCATCGGTCCTAGCCAACAGCTGGAAGGCCCTGCAAACCAGCTACACTTAGCCATCACAATAGCCTAGTCTGGAAGTCACTAGTGCATGAACAACTGTGGCAAGGTACCTGGAGTACCAACTGAAATTAATAAAATGTGCCTCTGGACACCCAAATTTCCCAAGTTAGTGCAGAGCCCAGAGGCACATTCAAGCTTTCAGGCCACCTAAGCTAGTTTGGGTGCAGGCTGTCCTGAGATAACCATCTCCTAAACTGCTTAGGGCAAGTTAGGAGCAGGATCAGGCCAGCAGGCCAGATCCTGAACTTTCCAACCATGATGCCAGGGTGGACTTTGGCATGTTGTTTTTGTTCCATAGGCTTTGCTGGGGTGATTGTGGGGAAAAGATTTGTCCTGTGTGTACTGTGGACTTTGGCAAACTGTTTGTGTGTGTCTTTACCCATGAGTTGTTTAACATGTTTTTAGTTTATATTTTAAAATTGTTTTACTGGCTAAAGTTAGTGACATTTCATAAGGGTGTTCCCCAACCCCCACCCCCACATACACGCTCAGTATGAACCTTTCTTGAGAGAAATTTAAATGGTGTTGAATGGAATGCTGGGTAGAATGAGAATGATTGTTGGGCAGAGAGGGTCAGTTGAAAAATGACCATGTGAGATATGAAAGTACAGACCAGGCCTCAGCCTTGAAGTTTAAAGTTCAGGTAAGCATAGGTGTGACAGGAAACAGACAGAAGAAATAAGAAATGAGTAAAAATAGTTTTGAGGGGTATGAAGGGAAAGGGAAATACAGCTGAAGTGCACAGCAGCAAGATTTCTGTCAGACAGTTTTTTAAGGCACAGGGGAGCCTTCAGCTCTTACTCTGTGTGGATGATATTGGTTGCCAATTAAGTACTTGTAACATAGAATGATAACTTCAGTCGCATAGACTCCATTTGTCTATTCCAGTGAGCGGACAGATCTGGGAAGTCCACCACTTTGCCACCGGCAGCCAACCAGCATCAAGGTAGTGGTGATGCTGGAACTAACAAGATAGGATGCCATATCCATTTTGCCCGGAATAACATGTCTGCTAAGACTGTGGTTGTAATTTCCTGGCAATCTGGAGCTTGAGTGGAAACTTCTGTTAATATGTTATTTTGTTAATTGAATTAATGTCAAAACACGTTGGCCAGCCTTCATAAAATGGCTGACCATTCTACTGCACTGCAGTATCTTAGGTTTGGAGAACAGGAGTTTGTGCTCTCAGGGTATTTTTCTGTATGCTAAAAAAGCGTAAGATGCTATATTCTGTGCTGTACATGTCACAAAGTACAGTACAGTACTAAAAAGCCACCTTTTTGCTATAGTATAGTGGTAATGACTATTGCAAATTGCCAAAGCCACTGAAGTTTTGCTCACAGGGTTGTTGTTTTTTACAAAAACAAAAACCAGTGGTTCATTTTAATTTTTGAAAAAAGATTTCAGAGTTTATGACAGCTCACCTGGCAGCCATAGGCAGCAAGGAATTACATACACTACAGATAGGTGAATGGGCTCCTGTAGGATTAATCTGCCCTTCCTCCACCAGCCCACTTGGTTTCTGTGCTCACTGCAGAGCAAAAGTCTTCCCTTTCTCCTTTTGTTTTTCTTTTGCAGGTTGGTAACTGTCTGGTTTGTGAACTCTTAGAAGTGGTGCGAACTGGTCTACTGCTGTAATTTCTGTAATTAAATTTGGAGGCTTCATAGAGCAGACTGTTGTCTGTAGAAATTTATGACACAATAACCTAGCTAGGTAAACTCAAAAGCTCTACAAAAATCTGTTAGTCGCATCAAAATTTCTGTGCTGATTTGCAGTTATAAGTAGTCTAATCCCCCATGAAGCTGAAGTGAGTGCTCTTATCACTGCTGTTCAATTTAGGAGGCAAATTTTGCATGAAGATTAGTATGTCTATGTTTGCAAGAAGGTTGAATTGATCCACACCTGCCAGGAATTGAACTTTGCTTGCAGTACAAAAGGTTTTGAATTAACTTTATTGAGAGTAAACTGGGCACAAGATTGCTGTCTATATCCTTTTTTGCTTCTTCAAAAGATACTCTTCCTGTTTTGCTTTTGTAGTTTGCATTCATTTGGGATCCTAAAAGAAGGGAAGTGTTGTGTCTGTAGTTCAGCTATGCTTTTAGGATGTGCTTTATATGGGAAATGTTCTGCCTTAAATGACCGGAAAATATTCTGCAGATTCTAGGCCGCTGCTGAAGGTATTCAGGATGTAGGGCAGAAAATATGCAACTAATTGTAGGGAAACAGCTGTTGGCATTGAAAGTAATTGCTCTGTTCTGCAGAATCACTAAAGCAGAGGTTATTTTGAACTTGAGTCTTAATTCATAATTCAAATGGGATATGGGTGTTGCTTTTAAAAATACAATCTTATGAAAGGGCTAATAAGCACAAGGGTCAGAAAATACGTAGCCTTTTCTAAGAGGTAGGAGAGTATAGTCTCCTTTACTCTTTTGTCAGATCACTTGTTCAGGGATAGAGGATTGTTTTAACAAGGCTTGCAGAAGAGCGCTGCGTTCTCTTACCCAACCTTCATCCTGGGAAAAGTGAGGAGAGGAGTTTTGAAGAAGAGAGGATCTCAGTCTGGTTTTCATTTTCTCTACAGCTGTCATCTGGCTTTGAGTTCTGCTGGGCTTCTACAGCTGGAGAGTCATTTTATTGCTTTTACCCAGCATCCTTTTGCTTGTGCACACAGAAATGTTTTAATAGTCTTGGAAAAAAGTCAGAGTATCTCTTAGCAACCATAGGACAGTAATTATTATACCAGCAGCTGGGAGCAAACCAGATTTCCGTTGTGCATTAAAAACTGGCGTAGGTTACTTCATAGATGATACTGGCTAGCCTATGCCAGTGCTGTGGTTGAAGGATATTGAATGTGGGCGGTGCGTAATTGCTTTGGCAGTAGAAAAGAAGTGGGGATTTGTGCATCTATGTCTGTGTTTTATGTGAGATAGAGACCATCAAACACTATATTTAATGTGGCACGTTTTTATACTGTAAAAATATTTTGCTGGTTTTATTTAGTCTTGTTTTCAATACAATAGTTGCCTGTGTTTGGGCCTCTTACTGTCAGAACCATATTTCTTGATTTTATTTTGTTGCTGCTGCTGTTGTTTTAAGTTTTAATAACCATCCCGTGACAAAACAACCTAAACTAATTGTTTCCTATCCAAAGAACTATTCTGAAATACTTCATCAAAATGGTTTGTTTGGAAACCAAAATCTTTTTAATTAGGGACTGTGTAGCTACTGGGAGTTTGAGGAATTGAGTGTAAAAGGATGGGTACTGAGAACATGACACAAACACTGAACTTTTGTATGAACTACAGAAAAGATGTCACACATTTGTTGAAAATGGTAATAACACATAAATAGCCCCCAACACCAAATAAGGGTGTAGTTTGCAGTTTCCCACTGCACTGATATCGCCTTTGCTTACTTAGTGTTGAGAATTCATATGCCTCCACAGGAGTATCTGAAGTCCAGAGGCTGTTATAGCCCACCTCCATGCTGCAGTGCTGTGGCTTGCTTCAGCTGATCCTTGCTAGTTATACTGGATTGCTAGTGGTTGTGTGGTACCCTGGACTATAAGGTCTTTGGACCCAAAGAAGGGTTGGCGTTTGCTAATGCACACAGTGCTTGTCAGAAAAGCTTTCCACAGCACCATCTGGTATAGCAAGAGTTGCAGAAGAAGCTATTTCATGAGAGTGTTTTTGTAAACTCTAAAGGAAGGCAAAATGACACAGTCTCAATTTGGATTGATGAAATCTCAAACCTGTCTGCACATCACATTTCTTGTAAGCCTCATGGACGCTTGACCATGTTCCTCTGTTAATTGGAAGTAATTATTCTTAAAAAAATGAACTCTTGGGTGAATATGAAAAAAATACTATATACCATTATGCACCCAGATTTCCATTAAACTGGGATCAGGTTTGACTATAAATTTGTTGGTCCATGCCTGAGACAACAAAGAAAATCTTCAGACCATGGTTTGGATAGCCTTTCTTATATTGGAAGTCATGCATACATTAGGTTGCCAAATTCTGTACCATTAACCAATGGAACTTGAGTGCTACAGATAAACTTTGGTAGCAGATGCTCAGGCAGCTTGCATATATGCTATTTGTATTCATATTTGGAGTGTGTGCATCTTGCCATGGTATGTGAATTTCCCCATCAGACATTACACTAGAAGTATTAACAGCATACAGTGGTACCTCGGGTTAAGTACTTAATTCGTTCCGGAGGTCCGTTCTTAACCTGAAGCACCACTTTAGCTATTGGGGCCGCCTGCTGCTGCCGCGCCGCCAGAGCCCGATTTCTCTTCTTATCCTGAAGCAAAGTTCTTAACCTGAAGCACTATTTCTGGCTTAGTGGAGTGTGTAACCTGAAGCATATGTAACCTGAAGCGTATGTAACCCGAGGTACCACTGTATAGGGATTGGTTAAACGAGCCAATGTCATAAGCTGTGGTTTGAAGTGGCCTTGCCCAGCAGCTAACTAAAGTTTAACGAAACCTATTGTGACAGAAGTCCTTCTGGCCAATTGGTGCGAGGACAGTCTCTAAGGCTTATGAAAGCTCATCCATGTAGAGCTAAACCACAATGAAGTCTTTCATAAGAATGCAGTCAGTGTGTCTACTTTTGCTTCCTTCTTAAGTTTCCAAATTCTAAGTTTGAGGAGCCAATGAAATATGATAGATCTTAGAGCAATGATCTCTAAGGTGTTGGGCGTTTTAAAGTTTGGAAAGTTATTTTCCTCCCACCCACCCTTTTATGTCTATAGCAAGCATGTTAACATGCTCTTCCACAACAACTGATTAGATTCTGCCCGACTTCACAATAGTCGGTTCAGCTCCTGATAAGCGCTGTTTTCTACAATCTAGGAAGCTGTGAAAAGTGACTTGCTCATTGTATTATCTTAGAATTTACTACTTATTTACTACCTTCATCACTTAGGAATGACACTTAAAAGTGAATTGTGGAGAACATTGTCTTTTGTTGAGGTGGCTGAGCATCTTTGTCTATTAAATACAGTGCCCATCTGCACAGTAACAGTACTTCTAACAAGTCTCATTTTGTTGAAGGTGCAGAAAGGTGTAAGCATGTAAAGTACATTTGTCAGAAACATGCTCACAGAATGAGCATCTTCCCAAGGAACAGATTTTGTGTAGTGTCTTGCACATTAAGGCAATCTGCCCCAATGTATTTTGGACTACAACTCCCATAAGTCCCAACCAGCTGTCTAAGACTGAAAGAGCTGCAAGTTGCCAAAGGCTGCATCAAGGCACAGCCATCATATACTCTGAAAACAGCAGGTGTGGCATAAGAATATATATTCTGCCTGTTTGAAGTGTTAAATTCCATGGAAATCCTTGCCCTAATTATGGTCTTGCAATAAGTGTTCAGGTGATCACAGTTTCCCACACCAATTTGGTGGCCTTCTATTACAGTAGTGAGAGTGAGTCACACACCCAACCCGGTTGGCTGCTCTATTTCAGGGATCTTCCGGAACCAGGGGCAATTGCTGTGGTTAGTTGGTGGTCAGGTGGTTGACAAATATCAAGTCTTCAGTGCCAATCACTGCTTGGAAAAGGAAATGGCATACAATCCTCTCTGTAGTGATGTTTTCTAGATGTATAAATAACCAACTGGGAAATGGAGTTTGTGTGGTCCCATATCCATACCATGCAATCATGGAAATTGTAGGTCTGAAGGGCTGTTAGTGTTTTTCTTGTGCTGGGTGTGTTTGTGACTTGTACATTCAGTAAGCATTCCATAAGGGGGATACTAAAAGTATTTTTGACACTGCATAAATGCTGCCTCCAGCATGTAATCTGTGGCGTTTGTTTACAATAGAATTTTTGTAAATGTTTAGTATGCGACTTGTTTTGATTTTAATTGAAGTCATATGCATTGTCATCCATCTGAATTGCTGGGATGACTCAAGCACAACAACAACAACAATAAAATAAGAATTATAATTTATTATCATTCCCAGGCTATTCCAGAAAGCATACCGAGTTTGCTAATGAAAGATCATCTTTTCCAACATGAACCTGGAGTGAGCAATGATTCTTACAAAAGCTTAAGTATAAGACCCTCAACCTTTGAAGATTTCAGCTCAAGAAGACCGTTTTTCCACAACCAATCCAACCAGGTAACAGCTCTGCAACTAGAAAAAAACAGCTGTCAGAAATTTGGCTTAGTTATTTTATTGTCTAGGCTAGACCTATAATGGGAGCCAAAGCTTTTCCACTATGTTAGAGAGCCATGGCAAGCCTCAGGCTCACATACTCCCTTCTCTCCCCTCTTTCATGCAGCAGACTTAAAAGTGGAAGTGACTACAGGAAGAGATTAAAAACATCGGCTTCCACTTTAGAACAAGCTATAGTTTTTCAGGTTCCAGTGTCATGGGAAGTTGCAGCTTGTTTAAAAGTAGAAGATGCTTCTGATATCTCTTTGGCTGTATTCACACGTGGGGTTTATTGTGTTAGTTTAACTGACTATAAGGCTAGTGCTTCTTTCTTTTTTTTCTAACTTTCCTTTCACACTACACAAGCCTGTTCCGTCATATCTCAACCCCTATACGGCCATGTTGCGGTAAAGGCCATTCACACAGCAAGAACTAGCAACAGACATCAACAGATGCCACCACCATTCTGCTACTCTGTGCTGAAATACTAGCCTTGAAGCGGGCAAGGAATGCACTACATGCTGGTAGTCTGCCACACAGCTCGTCATGTGAGCAGCTGTGGCATGAACCTGTGAAAAAGGCAGGAAAATCACCACACAAAATCACATGGTTTTCCGAGTTGGGGGGAGGGGCTGTAAGAGGGGTTTTTTTTGCAATCAAATAACATGGAAATGAGCGCTAGACTATATCCTCATACATATTTTCAGAAGTGGCTTTTATGTTGTGTGAAAGCTCAGTTTTTCTGTGCAAAATAACTACCAGGGAAACATCAGGGAAAGGGAATAAACTATGGTGTGAATGAAGCCATTCTCTGCTGAAAGGGGTGGTGGTGTGTGTGGCTCAAGCAACTGGAAACCATGACTTCCCATTTCTTCTGAATTGAGCAAATATGTGCAGTCGCAGCAACTTCCACCTTGTGCCTCTCCCTTCCCATCTGCATACTTCCCTCTTTTCCCTCGCCTGCTGTGTACAATTCCTTCTATCACTTAGGAATTTTTACCCACCCAGCCTTTCTCATTGACGTATACTTGCTCAGTCCCATTTATTCTGCCTTCCTTTCCACTGCCATACAGCTTCTCGAAAGATGCTAAAGCCCCTACCAGGCTACTTGCCCTCCTTCCTGGGCCTCTCAGCCACATAGTTTTCTTATTCCCCTTTACAGTTTCCATTGTTGCCTCCAGGCAAGCAGCTCGGTCTGTGTCACAGTCCCACCCACTTCCTGCTCTGGACATTGATTTCTTCCTCTCCTCCACCCAAACAATCCTTCACTTCACAAAGCTCGTCTTCTGTTTTCCACCTGAGCAGTAGAAATGCTTATTTTTTAAAAAATTACAGCAGCTGGGGAACACTCCCCAAGAAATAGTCATGTTTTTGTCAGTCAAGGAATATTTTATGAGTCTCAAAAAATCCATTTGCCAGAGAAAAAGGCCCCCAGCGTCTCCCTTTCCCTCCAGGCTCACAGGAGGATAGAAAGAATATACATATACGTAATTTCATTTGTGTGCTCGCTCTCCACAGTTCAAGCCATGCTCAAGGCAGCTTACAAGATAACAAAAATACAATTTCCACATAAATCATAATATCTAAAATAAAGATTTTAAAAAATCAGCTACAACCCCCCCCCCCAACAAAAACTTCTGCTTTTGTAGCTGGAGTCAGCCAGGGCCCTGCCCTCTTGGGCCAGGTGGGAAAAGGCCCGCAAGGCAGGGAGCAGGTCTTCCAAGACTCACAGCCAAAATGGTCTCATATTGTGTTGAGCTCTGGAGCAAGCAGAAGCAGAACTGGCCACACACACTGCTTCTGCCCTCAGCGAAGCCCAGAACAATACAAGACCTCCTGTCCCAAATTCTCAAGAGGAGAGGAGAGGTCAATGATAGCCACAGACTGCAGCTGGCTAGTCAGCAAAGTCAGGCCCTGGTTTTGTCGGTTTACTGTTATGATTTTAGGTGGAAAGAACAAAAATGTCTGCTGGCATTTACATTCGTGAGTTGTCTTTTTTTTTATTGTCAAGCCTCTAAAATCCTTTGTGGTGAAAATAGAGCACTCCATGATAAATTTAATATTATCCTTTCATAACCTTGTAGTTGATCTTATGCCTCTTTTACCCACAATTCTATATTGTGGCACCCAGGTATCCTGGAGTACCTCAGATATAGGCATAAGATTTTCTCTCACCTGAGTATACATGGGTTAGGGAAATTTCCCATGTGCAGGTGTGCAAAGATCACATATGTCTACTTTGTAAGATTTATATTTGTGAATGCTACTACTTGCAGCTCTTCAACTGTGCTCCAGCATTACTGTGTACGCCACCACCCAAGGGTTTTTTTGGGGGGGGGTTGCCTGCACCATTGTACTGTATACCTATGTAGAAAGAAAGTTTTGTGCAAAGTAGCTTTTGCCTGACTTCAGCCTGATCTCTCATTTTCCTGACATCCTTCCCCCCCCCCCCCCAAGGTTGCAGAGTTAAAGCCCAGAACAATCTATTACTGAAGCTTAGGCTTGCATTACTCTGTTTTATTTTAGAGTGATCTTCTACTTAGATTTCAAAGATTTCCCTATTTAGCTTGCTCTAGTTGTTTAGACAGTTTTAACCATTGGCAAGGGTGACCGATTACAATTTTTATTACTTTGAGCCAAGCCATTTTGAATCTCAAATATTCCAGCAGAAGTTTGCTCTGCCCTATAATGGAGTGTCTTGTTTTTGCCCTTGGCAGGGATGGGAAAGGATTGTTTGCTTTTTAATCTTTGCTCATAAACTAAAACTTTATAGCAAACTTATTTTCATTAATAGTGAAAGATGTTTCTGTCATCGCTGGCCGATCCTTTAGAAGGTTATGGAAAAGTTATTTCTGTCTTGGTTTTGTGGATTTCCATTGGTGCCAGCAAAGTGAGCAACTTCTTTGGTACTGGCTACAAGTTCTCACCACAAGTGTTAATGTGTTTGTTAAGCAAGTACTTCAGTAATCAAGGACTGCTTCTTCAAAAAGCATTTTGAAATAATTCAGGCATGAGTTGCAAAGTGGCTTTTATTTCTACACCTGTAAGAAATCCTCCACCCTTTGCAATATGATTTAAAATTAACCACTTTCTGCAGGCAGCCTGAAATTCTGGTCACACCTACCCAGAGTAAGTCCTATTAAACTCAATGGGGCTTACTTCTGAGTAGATATGCACAGAATTGCACTTGGGGGCTAGTTCCAAGAATTTCAGAAGCATGGATCACCTGAGCTCCTAATTCTCCCCTTTGTCATTTTTTGAGTCTCACCCATGTTTGAAAATGGTCTGCTTCACAGTTTTATCTCAAGAGTGTTGTGTTGCATTCACAAATCCTACTTCACATTGTTAAAGCAGAATTGTGAGTTGAATAATTTCTGCTTTTGAAATTCCTGCTCTTTGTTAGACACTACGTTTTCTGAGACCCATCCTTTTTGTCCAGAGCAACCCAAAAGGTGGCAGTGGAGGAAATAAAGGCAGATTAACTGCCTTTCCCAGTGCCCTGCCAGCAAGACACTGTGTGTGTGTGTGTGTGTGTGTGTGTGTGTGTGTGTGTTTCTCCTCTCTTCTTCCAAATGTTATTACTGGTCAACTCTTTACCTCCCACCCCCAATTTGCACTCACCCTCTTTTCTTTATGGTTTTTGTTTTTCATTTGCTTGAGCTTTCCATCTCCTCATTCTTTTCATGTCTTAGGTGACCTATGATGGGCATTTAGGGGAGGGATGCAGGATTGTGAATACCTTTGTATAGCATTTAATTGTTAAGGTGCCTAATCAGCATTAAATATGAATAGATTTCATGAAGCTGCAATCCTGTGATTCCAAGGAGGGTGACCCATGAATTGCAGGAATCATTGTACTGAACAGGAAAAGGAAAATGCACCCGCCACCACTTTTTGTCTTACCAATGCAAGCCCAGATGGGAAATGGCAGTTCATCCATTTTGAGTTCTGCCCCCCCATAACACCCCCCCACACACACCATTTGGATTACTCTGCCTATCATCTTTGTCAGGAACTCTTCAATTCAGTTTACGGAAAACAAGTAGGGATGAAACCTCCTGACAATAAAGTTCTCTGGTACTTAATCATCAGCTTGTGCTGAGAGATTCTGTCGCACTTGTGTGTAAAACAAAGTGTCTTGCTTCCCTTTCAGATACCCCTGAAGCCGGTCAGGAATGTCAGTTTTCAGGACGACGAAGAAATTGTTCGAATAAACCCTCGTGACATTTTAATACGCCGCTATGCAGACTATAGGCACCCAGACATGTGGAAAAATGACTTGGATAGGGATGAAGGCGACGCCTCGCTGCAGTGTCCCAAGGCAGATAGTAAAAAACCAGACTATCTGTACCCTTCCGGGGACGGAACTAAGTTGAATTCGCTAAAAGATTCCAAGTGTTCTGTGGTACTGAAAACGCAACCTTCCTCGTTCAAATTGAAAAAGTCGAAAAGGAGGAAAGAGGACGGGGAGCGCTCTCGCTGCATATACTGCCAGGAAAGGTTTAATCATGAAGAGAATGGCCGGGGCAAATGCCAGGATGCTCCCGATCCCATCAAGAGATGCATCTATCAAGTTAGCTGCATGCTTTGTGCTGAGAGCATGCTCTACCATTGTATGTCAGACTCGGAGGGGGATTTCTCTGACCCCTGCTCTTGTGACACTAGCGACGACAAGTTCTGCTTGCGATGGCTCGCCCTTGTCACATTGTCTTTCATTGCGCCGTGTATGTGCTGCTACCTCCCCTTAAGAGCGTGCCACCATTGTGGTGAGGTCTGTGGATGCTGCGGAGGGAAGCATAAAGCGGCTGGATGAACCAGTCCGGTACCAAGTTTGGGCTAACAACGTCTTTATTTTCAGGAAGTATCTAACTCGTGGAAGCATTTGGCAAGCAGAAGGGGGAAACCTGTCGTATATGAAAGGTCAATTCTGGAAGAAGCATCAGAACTTGTTGCATTGTAGGAATGCTGGCCACGCCGAATGATCTGCTTTTAAGTGCATGGTGCAAGTTGTGTCGGGAGTTCTTTCAAAAGGAAAGCCTTTTCTTAACGATTGGTGGCTGAAAGAAGTATAAACTGCAGTCCGTACTATAAGGGATCAACTTCAGCAATTTGTACATATTGAGGTTAGGTGATGGGGGCTGTTGAAAGAATCTATTTAGCAGAAAATTTAACTAAACCTGCAGTAGCGAGAGCTGATTTAAAACTAAGGAAAGTTTAAAACTTGGCGACTGCAAGAAACTAAATTGATTTTAAATGCAACTAAATTGCTTATAAATAGTTTTTTTGGAAACAACTTTATGTACAAATAACAAATGTTTATATTTAACAAAATATATGGTACGAATTATTAAATCTTCCTTCCCCTTTCCAGTTGCAACACAGTTATGGACCACATTTCCAGTCACATTCCATGGTAGTATTTCTCAATATTTAACTAGTTAACTTAGTAGCATTTCTATTCAAAATGGACAAATCAATATTTTCAGTCTTGTTTCCCTTCAGCTACATTTTTGTATTGAGTTCTCTCTGTACATTCTGGTAATCTGAAAGCCTTTAAAATATTAATTATTGTAGTCTTGAATGACCAATGTTTTGTTAAGCACAGGTGTAATTGTCTAATGCTCTTATAAGAACATAACATTTATTTTTATATATAAATTACTCTGTATTCAGCGAAATGGCAAAGGAGTTTTTTTCCTTTCTCAACCAGCAAATTTTCTTCTAGGGTTTCCTTGATTTCAAATGTTTGGGGAAAGAAAATTACAAGAAGATAATTGTCATAAAATATATATATATATATTTATCATGCAATTCAACTTGGTACCAATTATTACTTCAAACTATCAAAGGAACAAAAAAGCATCCATTATTCTAATCTTATTTGGCCTATCAGAAATTTACAATACTTCGTATATCAAACGATAACCCAGGTAGGGAAAAGCAAATGAATTTCTTGTGAATGGAAGTGGGTTTTATTTTGTCTTTGTTGTAGCTTATTAATAATGAATGTTTAACTTAACATTTGGCTATGTGTCCTAAATACCAATATGGGGAAATTTCTAAATGTCATCCATCATATAACATAGCTGAGTATACAGGTTTTTAATTAATAAAACTCTCTAAAGCAGTGAAGCAGTCATTCATTCAAAATCGTTAATGGGTGGAGGGAAAAAAACCATGTGTTTAATATGCTCTTACGATTAAAATTATAATTGCACACTACCTTTTCTTTTATTTCTATGCATTTCCCCCCCAGTGAAATGTTTTGGTTTATTTTCTTCCGAAGACCATGTTCAATCACAGGAATCTTTCCTTCCCCTCCTCTTTTCAGAGCCCAGGTATCAAACTGAACAACTGTATATAACACTATCTGTAAAATACTTTTTTAAAGAAAGCATTTATATTTATATGACAGCTTGAACTGACAACGTTATGTACATAGATCATCTTGAAGTATTATTTCACATTGAAAAGAAGACAAATATATTGATAACTATAGAAGTTAAGAGTTCCTTTCTAGTTTTGTACTTTAAAAAAAAGCCTGTATGTATAACCGAAGTCAGCAAACACGACACTGTAGCAGCAATCTCTTTAAATCCTTTCGTTTTATATGTTTGAGAGCTGCTGCTCCAGAAGACTTTCACGCTTCACATATTGAGCTAAACTTGGTTGCCTAGATAGACTGTTAACTTTTTTCCCAAATAAACAAACAAAAACGAGACAGAGATTCGTAACCTGCATTTCACTGTTGACATAGGACCTGCATCTTGTGATATAGCATTTACTAAAACATTATGCTTTTAATTAAATATGGAGCATGGTATCAACAACCCAAGAAAAGAACTTGCTGGCTGTACAGAAAAGTCCTTTGGAACTTTGTGTGTATGTGTGCGTGTGCGTATGTGCGTACTTTGGGAAGAGACAAATCTAACCATTTTCTATGAGCACTCATCGACATAGTGCAACTCTTGGTTCTTGTAGTAGTGAAACCTTATATGCTTTAAAAAAAATTACTGAATATGTGCATTAATATTTTCAGTATATATTTAACCACTTTGCTGCTAAACATTTACTATCCTTTACTCTTGAAGAAATATTATTCCTATTTTGTTGTTTTTTTTAAAAAAAATACAAATTAATATGGATACTGGTATATAGGTTGTGTTATTTGCAACTCATCTAATTTGAAATAATTGCATTGGTTCAGTATCTGGTTTCATGGATTGTGTGATGTCGGCCACATTTCTGTATGTTTAGGCTTTTGCTTTAACGGGGGAATTTCTTAACTAATTGTGGCCAACTCACATATGAAGTTGCCTTATAGGGAGTCAGACCATGGGTTAATCCATCTCTGTGCTCAAATTAGTGGTCATTTTTCAAGATCTCAGGCAGACCTGCTGCTCAGCTCTGCTAACTGAGGTGCTTTTTTAACTGGAGATGCCAGTGATTAAACTAAGAAATGATGTATGGCTCTATCTTCCTGGAACAAACCATTGAATCACCACTTCTCAATCCACTAATTCTAATTCATAGAATCCGCCATGGAGTTGCTTTGTTGAATCTCATGGATTTCAGTGCACTTAAATTTTTTTGTCCTTAAATCGGATTGTGGCCCCTGTGTGCATTTTATCTTTTCACCCTGCTTTCTCAGAAGGAGGTTGGGTTAGGGACAAAGAGTCAACGGATAAGAGGTTTACTGTAAAGCATGTAAATTCAGGTGCCTTTTAAGGTGTAATGTAATGTGGGACTTTTCTCCAAGCCTATATCAACTCATGTGCAGTAATTGCCGAAGGATGTTCAGGTTTCAGCCTCCTAAAAGGTGCTACCTGAAAGAAGGAGTGTTCTGTCTGAGGTGAAAGCAGCTAGCTATAACATTAGGGTACCACCTACTGGACAAACATGATTTAGGAAACTTAACTTTATTCATGCAGCCTACACACACACACACACACACACACACACACACACACACACTTTTTCTGACAGTTGTTTAAAACATAAATGCCAAAATAGGGGATGGAAAGAGATCCTTGCAATTTCAGCAATTGCAGTTGTCTTAGACACAATTGAATTAATAAACATGTCCGATTGAAAGTCCAGTAGTGTAAAACAAGACATTCTTACTATCAGGCTTTGTGGAAATGCAAATGTTCCAGACCAAAATAAAACAATAGCTGGAAGTTTCTGGTTCCTCCCCACCCCACCCCACCCCCCATCCTGTTAATTGACATTGTTGGTCTTATTCCAGAAGAGTCATTCTTGAAAGTTTAGAAGATAATATCCCACCTTGCAAAACAGTGAGCCTTTAACTTTTCTATATTATTTTGTTGTCAAAAAAAATAAATCCCCACAAAAGCCTACGTTTCTGTTTCATATAGAAAACTCTGGGCTAGTAGTTCTCAAACTTAGGGCCTTGAACTTGAATGAAAACAGTCATGAGTTGTACCACACGTGTCCCGCTATCCACCTGCTTGTTATGCAGAAATTCACTTATCTAGACACAGTTATGCAGAGCTGATTCAGATATTTGAATAGCTGGAGTTTGCCCACTTCCTTGCTGGTCTACGGCAGCCATTTTTGGGAAGAAACCATGCAGAGAGAGTGCAGACAGATTAGTTTTTCATTTGTCTCTATTTCATAGCTGTCAACTTTTCTCTTTTCTTGCGAGGAATCCTATTCGGAATAAGGGAATTTCCCTTTAAAAAAGGGAAACGTTGACAGCTATGCTCTATTTTGCTGGTTGGCTGCAGCCATTTTGGGCAGAGGGGAGAGAGATTACGGATTAGAAATGTTCCCATAGGAAATGGAAATGGCCAGCTCACTGTGTGAATGCTTGCCTAACAATTTCCTGGGAATACATTGTGTTCAGAAAGTGTGAACTGTGTGTATTTTCCCCACCAGTCTACACCTGGGGCACTTGAATGTTCTGGGCCCCTAAGTGTTGCACATTAAAGTTGTTTGGAGGTAGTTTCACCTTTACTTCACTTCTCATCCCAACAGAATTTTGAATTTGCATGATTTTTTGAGAAATCTTGTTCTGTTCCTCCTTCAGAACCAATGTTAAGATTTGTGCCCTAGTGTATACAGATCCTTGCATATAGCAACTTCATTACCTGCAATCTTGCCTGTGGAAGAGACTTATTTTTGCTGGGTCAGAAGGTCTCAGAGGACGCAGTTAACTTTAAAAGTGGTGCCCAAGTTCAAAGCAAATTTAGATCTAGAGCACAGACTTCTATATTGACCAAACTGCACACTTTCAAACAGCAATTTCAGATATTTTTGCATGCTGGAATGCAACATTCCCATTTTTCTTCTATAATCTTTCTGTGAGTAATCCTGTATGTGTGTACAAGGAAGAAAAACCTCGAGAACTCCCCATGTAAATAATACGCAATGTTTGTGTTGATCTTTCGATCTCCAGAGAACATAGAACACTGTATAAATGGAGTCTACAGTGGTCCACACACTTTTGAGGGAGAAGAATAAAGGAGATGGTTTAGTATTCCAATTAGTACTATTAAAGTTGGCAGCCTGGTGGTTAAAACTTGCATCTGCTTTTTGGTGCACTGATGAAGTAGCATTGAAATGGCATCTCCCTCTCCCCCCCCCCCCAAGCATCTTAATTGCAATAGCTGTGGTTAGCTTTGAAAATTTAAACAAAACCTAGTGGGGAAAACTTTGTATTGGGAGCTGCAGCATAATCTGTACATAGGTTTTTTTCCTCCCTCTTGTTTGTGAATATTTTGCTTAGTGCAATTTGCTTTCCACCCTATTGACCTCAAAAAAGTGCCTCACTTGTATATTATTTCCATTAAAATATTAATTGCTATCTCTTTCTACTAAATGATGTAGGATTAAGTTTTAATTCCATGCCATAGATGTATTTCTTTCTATGTATAAGAATATAGCTGGTTACCTTGAGGACATAATGTAAATACACATACGAGTTTTAACTGTTTTGTTATCATACCCTTTGTAAGTTGCCATACTGGATAATATCATAAAACAGATTTAAGTTTCAATGTTTTCCTGCAATTACCTGATTAAAACTATCATGAAATTAAAGGGAGATATGTCATGTGTTTTTGTACTTCACTTTTGGGATGGCTCAGAGCAGGGAAAGAGGAAAATATTGGTGCAGAAGAGTACCTTTCAGAATTGTGTAGCATTAAGATGGATTCAGCAACATGGGCCTACTGCCTTGCATAAAATAATAAAATTGAAGAAGTGACTCTGAGGGCAATCTAGTCCGACCCCCTGCAATGCAGAAATCTCACCTAAAGCATCCCTGACAGATGTCCATCCAACCTCTGCTTAAAAACCAAGGAAGGGGAATCTACCACCTTCCAAGGGAATCTTTTCCACTGTTGAAGAGTTATTACAGTTAGAAAGTTCTTCCTGATGTTTAGTCAGAATCTCCTTGCTTGTGACTTGAGGCCATTCAGGTCCTACCCGCCACAGGAGAAAACAAGCTTGCTGCATCTTCCATGTGACAGCCCTTTAGATATTTGAAGATGGCCATTTACCTTCCCGCCGGAGCGGTACCTATTTATCTACTTGCACTTTGACATGCTTTTGAACTGCTAGGTTGGCAGGAGCAGGGACCGAGCAACAGGAGCTCACCCCGTCGCGGGGATTCAAACCGCCGACCTTCTGATCGGCAAGTCCTAGGCTCTGTGGTTTAAAATACACAAATTAAAATTGTTGAGAATAGCCTAGGCTTTCAAGTAAGTAATTGTTTTTCTTGGTCAAATATCTAAAAGTACCACCAACCTTTCCCCAGTTTGCTACCTTAGTGTATTTTGCTATGGAAAAGGAGCAAGTCGGATGCACATGTGCCCCTCTCAAGTGATTCAAGGCCTGTTTCATACATATCTGGGTCAGGTGGGGAGAGGGCTGTTGTGTTCAGGTCCTGCTTGCAGGCTTGCCATTGGTGGGCCATTGTGAGAGCAGGAATGATGTACTAGATCAGTGGTTCTCAACCTGTGGGTCCCCAGATGTTGTTGGACTACAACTCCCATCATCCCTGACCACTGGTCATGCTGGCTAGGAATGATGGGAGTTGTAGTAACAACATCTGGGGACCTACAGCTTGAGAAACACTGTACTAGATGGACCTTTGGTCTGATCCAGCATGGCATTTCTTATGTTCTTACATTAACCAGATACCAAATGTGAAACAAAAACTGACCCTCTGTGCAATATTGATCTCATATTTTAGTGGGGTTGGGCAGCATTGTTTTCTGGGCAGCTGCAGATCCTATATTCCTGCATCCCTTACCTTCTCTCAAGTTATTGTGCTACATTTTGGAGTCATGGGGCACTGAGAATTTGCATAGAATCCATGCCCTGGAGCCTTGATCTAACTACCATAGTTCCATAGCCCTCACAGGACTCCTAATTATTATTATTATTTATACCCCGCCCATCTGGCTGGGTTTCCCCAGCCACTCTGGGCGGCTTCCTACAAAATATTAAAATACAATAGTCTATCAAACACGAAAAGCTTCCCTAAACAGGGCTGCCTTCAGATGTCTTCTAAAAGTCTGGTAGTTGTTTTTCTATTCTAAATAGGGACAAACAGTGGGTGACTTTCTGTAATGACCTCTCTGTGGACTTCCAGAGACATCTGGCCATGGCAAGAAGCAGGTTCCCTTGATATGATCCAGAAGTGCCATTATTATTTGGAGGTTCTGGCTGCCACATAGGTAAAGGTAAAGGGACCCCTGACCATTAGGTCCAGTCGTGGCCGACTCTGGGGTTGCGGCACTCATCTCGCTTTCTTGGCCAAGGGAGCCGGCATACAGCTTCCGGGTCATGTGGCCAGCATGACTAAGCCGCTTCTGGCGAACCAGAGCAGCTCACGGAAACGCCGTTTACCTTCCCGCCGGAGCGGTACCTATTTATCTACTTGCACTTTGATGTGCTTTTGAACTGCTAGGTTGGCAGGAGCAGGGACCAAGCAACAGGAGCTCACCCCGTTGCGGGGATTCGAACTGCTGACCTTCTGATCGGTAAGTCCTAGGCTCTGTGGTTTAACCCACAGCGCCACCCACGTCCCATGGCTGCCACATACACTGCTCCAAAAGGTGCACACGGAGAGGGGTATTGTCGCAAGGGATGTGCAAGATTAAATTTGTTCTTGAATTTGCTTCAGATGTTTCACTGAGTTTTATTGTTTTTGTGTTTTAACTCCTTTGAAACGCTCGCTTTAATTTTAATTTAATTTTATTTGACTCTCTTGTGTTTCCCGCCCATTTAGAGGACAGGAGACAGAAAATCCATAAATAAGGTTAGTGTTTCTGGGGAAGGTGACTTTAGGGAAACAATTCCCATGATCTCCATTAGGTACATTAGTTAGCTGTCCTTCCCCTATTACTTCCCCAAGAGTTACACAACCACTTAAGTTACATCCACGTTCTCTAGCCTGAGCACTGAATGTTATAAACATATTCAAATATTTATGGCTAGCAACATTAAGTTGCACAGACTTTTAAACCAGATCATATTGCAGTACCACTGTAAATCACATCTTCAGCAACCCCATTGTTCAGTCGACAGAATTCCCAAATGCCTATATACAGTAACATTTGATCCCTGGGAAACAAGAACTGAGGTTCTGATGCATCAGATACAATTTTCCAGCTGAAAGCCATAAGGAACTGTTAAAACCATTTTTATTCTTAAGAGGCACAAAGTTACTTCTTTTTCATTGTACTTAAAAGAGGAACGAGATGTGGAGGGGCAGTGGTAGAAGTTCTTTGGGGGTATGAGGGATAAAAATAGAAAAGGGCAGGAGGAGGAATATGAGAAGCCAAGAGATACTGCCTTGCCATCGTCTAGGTGTGTGTGTGTGTGTGTGTGTGTGTGTGTGTGTGTGTGTGTGTTAACTAAGCAAATCTTAGTAAACAGGCCCATGCTTTGTCAGCAAAGCTTGCCAGGTTTCCGTCTTTCTGTTAATATTTAAGTGCAGGAAGGAATGTACTGGCAGATAGATTTAACTTTTCAGAAGTTATATCCCATTTCAGAAGAACTCCAGAAATTAATTTAGGATAATCAATAATTATATTGATCAAAAGTCACTGGTTACATTCACTTTTCACCTAAAAGGGAATTAAAATCACAAGTAAAACTAGACCTTAATAAGCTACTGTGGTGAAATCAAGATCTTGCTTTTACGATTTCCAAGGATCCAGGGGGGGAAGGAAGAAAATAAACAGAAATGGACTTTACTGCAAAATGTTATCTGTTAGCTTTCCAAAGAGGCAATGGCGGAAGTACAGTTTTGGTTTGAAATTTACTTTCATTTATTCCCTATCTCATTTGGCCATGTCTTCTGTCTGGGTTAAAAACTTCACTCAGTCACTGACCTGTCCTCTGGATCAAATGCAATAAGCCTATTAAGTCACCTGCACTTCCTGCTAGTATAGGAGACATTGTGTAGTCTCAATAAGAAAAGAACATCCAAAAGAGTAATCCAGACATGACTGATGGAATCACAGTATCAGTTTATTTAAGTTTGCTATTCTTTATATTTTCGTTTTGCCTTGGCAATGTCAACATACTTTAGAGGGTTGCTGGGGAAAAAAACTAAAAAGCACTCTGAACCATGAATGTAGTTTGAAAGTTTAAAATTACTTTAGTAACTTATTATTGAGAAGTATTTCTAGCTACATCAGCAAAGCTGCGGCACTGCAGCCAGTTTCCTGGCCTACATTGCCCAGAATGCTGTGCCTGAAGGACTACCAACCCTTCCTTTGAGTGGGGAAAGGCAAGGCTGGCCAGCCCTGCTGCACCATTAGTAGCCACAAATCAATTGATAAGAGTGTGGGTGGGATACAGGAGCAAGCAGGGCAGAGAGGATGCAGCCTTGCTTTGGCAACACAATGCCCTGCTCTGACTGCTTACTTTCTGAAGTATAAGATAAAGCTGAGAGCAGAAAAATTTGAGATTCAATGTAATTTTGGACAGAAGCACACATCTGCCTATTTCCCCTTCCTGGTTACCATATAAGACTGCCCCTGACAAAATTATGCAGAAATGCAGCTAAATTTCCCTAAAACCATCTCAAAGTTGTATTAACAGAGGAAGCGCATGCTCCCGATGTTTTAATTTTGTCCTGAAAGTTTCGGGTTCATATTCATTCTCATGAATGGCCTGATTTGACAGACAGCCTTTGCAAAGAAAATTAACACAAGCTTTTCTGTCTCCTGGTCATCTTGCCGGAAAGAATACAGCAAGGATTGTAAAAGTGCATGCTTAATGGCTGTGGAATTAATGGGTTTGAGTTCTGTGTTGACAACAAAATGCAAGCTCCTTGAATTCATGCTTTAAAACGTATTTAAAGCATTCATTTGCTGAGCTTTGAAAACACACTAAGTATGGATGCCCTTTTCTCTCTTTGTTACATGATTTTTGTTTTTAAAGGGGGGGGGGAGTATTGATCTGTCCTCTCTTGTGTACTTTGAGATCAATTAACTGCATTAGCCCCGAGGACACTGGGAAATGTGAGTGCAAGATATGACACTCTACTTCCTGGGCCAGGAGAGGAGTTGGCTGGCCTAAGGCTGTGTGGTGGAATAGAGCGTGCCTATTAGTCATCTGCTATGCTAAGTCCAGCGTTCTCTTTCCATAGTCATCACACAGCCATGTGTTCATCAGTTATTCCAAGACTTGAACCAGATGAGTTGTTTTCTCTTCTTCCACACTCCACAGGACTGGCTTCACATTTTCCTTTTCTTTTTTGCTTCTGATACACTTCTATTATTATTATTATTATTATTATTATTATTATTAAGAATACCCCATCCATCTGGCTCACCCATCTGGTTTCCCCAAAAAACAAACCTGCTTCCTTAAAATAGGTAAACTGCTACCTATTTCGGAGAATCAGATGACATAAATTGTTTGGAGAATCAGATGACATAAACTGATCAGAATTATAAACCAAGTTTTAAAAAACTCACTGTTCTATGTGAACCCTATGTGAACAATGGTAATGGGCTCACCTGAAAGCTTCACAGATAGCTTGGTGGGCACTTTGAAAGATAAGAACCACTTCC